GACAAAGACCATACTCTTGTCTCTATATATACTATCTAAGTAAGGAACTACATACCAATTTTCTATAAGTTATCCTATATGTATCTAAATTATGAGATACATATCTAATTTATAAGGGACATTTCCAACATGTGCAACATAAGAACAACCTATAACACAAGTAGCCAACTTATAAACAAATAGTCAACATGTACAACATATGTCCAATTTTTTGGCCAAGTTTTTATCCTATTAATCATCTATAAATATTTATAAAATAAAATTCACATATATAAAGCTTTTTACTAAGTTATTATTAAATTAATTTAATTTTATGTACTTCTATTTAACTTCTCTTATCATCTTAATTATTAATATCAATATTGATGTTTGTGATGTATAATCATGTGGAAAAAATCAACTTAAACTTATTATAATATAATCAAAGAGAAAGTGATATTAGTAGTTCTTAAGTTCTTTATAGAATTTTCTTTCTATTAGTTGATTATTATAATATCATATATCAATTATGATTTAATTTATAAACAACTTATTATCTATTAATATTCTGAAAATTATGCTATAAAAATAAATAAAATGAAATAATTATATTCTAAATAAATAACATGTTTTTTTTTTAAAATAAAGTACAAATTTAATCTATAAGTATCCTTCGATGCACATTGCTATTATACAAATTAACTTTGAAAAATCTATTAGATGTAAAAATCTGTAATAGAAATTCTATACAACCTTTGACATTGATTTGTCAAACTTTGTAGTTTCTAAAACATTTCTATGTAGTCTTCTTATTAGCTAGCATATATGGTAATAAGACTAATGTTATTCTTTGTCTTATTATTATTATTATTATTATTATTATTATATTTATTATATTTTATTATTATTATCATTTTTTAAAGACCATCTAATTACTCTATGTTTGACAACAATCATTATGATTTCTTATAGTTCTATAATATTTATATCTATATATATATATATATATATATTTCTTTTCTTCTTAAGAAATATGTTTAAAATCAAATATTTAATATAGAATATATTATTTATAAATTATTGCAATAAATTTTAAAATTTAGATTAGATCTACAATTTTTCTTAAAAATGTTATGTGACTCTTCAACATTATTTTGGAAGTTCTTTGAATCTATAAAGTTACTATAAAAGTGTCTAATAAGTCAAATACTTATATTGGAAATTTTGTAGTTTATAAAGAGGTTTTGCATAGCCTATTTATTAGCTAGTATAAGTAAAAGTAATATTAAGACCATTTATAGTCTAATAATATCTAATAGTGCTTAAATTTTATTTAAAATTTTATGTTTATTAATAACATTCATTTGAATTACCTAATTTTTTATTTTAATTTTTTATTTATATGTGTATCATGTTTTTGAAAATTTTCACAAAAAGTTATATGTTTTTAAAAATAAATAATTAAAATACTTATGTTTATTAAAACTAAACATTATATATATATGTTTTAATTTAAATTTTAATTTAGGTATTTAAAATTAAGTTAATGAGTTTTCAATCTAATTAAAATTAAATTAGAAATTTTATAATATTTTTACTTTCAAATCTTAAAATTTATTTTTTAAAGATATCTTTTAAAAATAATATCTAGATACACAGTCTTTCAATAAATAAAAAGTAACTATATTGCAAAAAAGAAAAAGAAAAAAATAAATCATCTTAATGATGTATTACAATCCTCACAAATAGAAAGAACTTCATCAATCAATTCATGCAAGCAATATTAAGTATATTCCTACATACAATGGGTTGTTTAGACGATGGTTGAGGTCGATGGCGAGATAGATGAAAGCATTGAATTGGAATGGATGTCCCGATGTGGGTGGGTGGGTGTGTGCACATTTGCTTTTCATCGCACGAGGAGACGATTTCGTTGGCTGCGACAGACAGGTCGTCGGCAGAATCGGACCACCGGGTGTTCGTAAAACTCGGCACTCGGTTTACTTCGATTCGAACCCAGTGCAGTGAGGTGGGTTATTTTTATTTTATTTTTATTTTTTTCTTTACCTGAGAAAACATCGACCAACCCTGGGCTTTTCGGCATCAACGAGACTCCGGCCTCGTTTTCTCCGCCTCCATTGTTGCCTCTCTCTCTCTCTCTCTTGCCTCCTCCACCCCATCCACCCACCTCCTCCCACCTTGCTTCCATTCTCTGTTTCGCCTCTTGTTGTTGTTGTTGTTGTTGTCGTTGTTGTTGTTGTTGTTTCATTGAGTTCGACAGATTCATCACTGCTCCTGAACTGTGTGAATTCATTACTCCTGCGGAGTTCATTTCTTCTCGTGGTGGTCGGAGCTGGATATCATTTTTCGTGTCGAGGTTTAGTGGATTTGACAAGGTTTAGGGAAGGTGTTAGGGGGGAAGGAATGGCGTCGGCTGCGGCGGGGAGAGTGGGAGCGGGAGCTTCTGTGATGAGCACGAACATCGGCTGTGAGATTGCGGCGTCGCGCAATGGTGTGCCGAGGGTGCAGCTTGTGGTGGCCACCAAGGGGGGGAGGGACGTGGGTTGCTGGGGTCAGCCACGCCTGATCGCTACCTCTTCCTTCATCGGCGCTGGCGTCGGGCGTTTCGCTCTCCGTGCGTCCAATGTGAGCCCGGGTGTGCTTGACAGCGGGGGGGGGGGGGGGTGTGATGCTATGTTTTTGTTCATAGGTTTTGAAGTGTGCTCGTGATGAGTGTGGAGTTGGGTACCTGGCATTGGCGTGGTTCCCGAGGCGACGCGTGTGGCATTGAAACGGATGTGCTCTGACCTGGGTTGGCCTGTCTTGGTGTCTTGTTTCAGGGATCTGGCCCCCGGACGGTTGTTAGCGTCGTTAACGAGGTAGCTCCCCTATCCCCTATCTTCACTGGTTGCTTTGAGGCGGCAATGTCTTCGATAGTTCGTTTTAATGCTTCCCTTCGGATGCCCTAACTAGATGCATGCCATGTGATTTATCCATTTCGGGAAGTTCAAAGCATGTCGCAACAAATCTCGTTCCTCTTGCATGTAACACGAGACACTCGTATGTACATCTGGTCGGGATTCCAATGTCCTTGTGCTCTTGTTGGAAGTCTCCTTCAGAACATTTTCTGCTTGCCAGGTTGCTGTGGATGGCTCGAGCAACAACACATCCACCAGTTTCGAAGTTCCTCGTACTCAAGAGAAGCCCACGACCGAGTCATCTGCATCAATTGCATCAGCTGCAGCTGTGTTTATGGCGGACGTTGCCAACTTGATCAAGTATGAGCTCGTTCTCGCACTTATTGCTTCCAAATTAAGTGCCCATCTTTTCTTGTCAAATCTAATTGCATGCTCTGCTTCGAGGATTTATTTGTTCCTGATATTTTTCCAACACTGCAGGCTTGTTGACACTAGAGACATTGTAGAGCTTGAGCTGAAGCAGAAGAATTATGAGCTGATCATCCGCAAGAAGGAAGCCATGCCACCTCCTCCAGCTCCTCAGCAGTCCGCACCAGGTCCGCATGTGATGGCCCATACCACGTTCCCGATGTATCAGCCACAACAACAGCAGAGCCCGTCGTCAATTCAAGAGGCTCCTGCTGCTGCTCCTAGTGCCCCTCCTGCCCCTGCGCCTGTCAATGATGCCATTCCCGCTGCTGCTGAACATCCTCCGATGCTTTCCCCTATGGCTGGAACATTTTACAAGTGTCCTGGCCCTGGCGAACCTCCATATGTGAAGGTATTCTGATATGCTATCAGCATTTGTCCCATCTCTCCTTGCAGTTACGCACCTTGTTTTATATTTTCACAAACCCCATTTTGAGAGATAGAGGAATGCTCAGTCAAGTCAGGGGTGGTCTGTTTAACGGCAGTTTTAGGATGTTGATTTTGTATTGAATTGGGACACGTGCTAATTCGCATCTAAGAAGGAAATGTGTCCTATGGGAAGTGGTAACATGTTATGAGACGCATATTAGTTCTTTCAGGAGGACACAGGAGAGTCTTTATCGTAAATGGGTCAAGTGCCGATTCCTACTGTAGCGGAACATAAATTTTCCAACGACGTGATCACGATTCGTTACTCGATCTTGCAGGTTGGAGACAAGGTTACCAAAGGTCAGGTTGTCTGCATCGTGGAAGCAATGAAGTTGATGAATGAGATTGAGGTGAGTACTGGAAGCAGTTTTTTTTATGAGAATTCTTGCAAGTTGAGTGCATGTGACTGCAGTATCCTGCGCTCCATCTCTCGGAGGTTGCTGTTTATTCGTTCTTGCTGATGTTTTGTGTCCTTTTTGCACAGGCCGATCAATCAGGAACGATTGTTGAAATTTTGGCCGAGGACGGAAAGCCTGTTTCTATGGAGTCGGTATGTTTCATCACCTTGTCTCATTTATTGTTTGACATCTCATATTAGGAGGCAGATGTCTGAGGTCTGTTATGTCTTTGCTGACAATGTGGTTTGTTTGTTTGGTCTTTTGGAAAATGTGCAGCCTCTCTTCGTTATCAAGCCATGAAGATGATTATAGCGATTCCCGCCGTTGCCATCATCATCTCTGTGTTGGAAGGGGTGTAGTTTAGCATCTTGTAGTGTAACTAGCGCCACACAAACACTAGCGATGCATATTAGTGTTGTGGTTATTGTTAATTTCTGGCAGACTCTTTTTTCTTAGATTCAAGAGGCAGTACCTGGGCAGACTGCTTCTGGCTCTTGGAGCACATAGAGAAGGTTAAGGTTTATGAGTTGATTGGAGGAACATATACGTCACTGACGGCAGCCCCTTTTCTTTTATCAGCGTTGGTTTGAAGAAAAAGTGAATTCGTTAACGGTGTGATATATGGGAATAATATTTGTGTGCGTGTGAATGTGTATGTGTATTACCTTCATCATTTTCTTCGTTGTTTGTGAGCTCTTTAGAACCATTAAGACCTGGACTTCACCTTAAGTTCACGTCTGCGATACTGAATGAATTGACAGCTTCCTGCTATTTGTTCTAGAACAGGACAAACGTGTTGGATCAGATGTGGAAGTCATCACTGCTGGTTTGAGTTGTCACTTTGTTGATCCTTATTCCTGAGAAATGGTCTTTACAGGGGTCTAGAGATCCTCTCCAGAAGCAAACATTATGTCTACTTGGCTCTTAGCTGCTCTATTTGAGAGTGTAGCTTTTGGCATGGCACCAAAGTCACCCGAGCCTTCACCCCTAAAGATTTTGTTGGACATTACTTTAAGAAATGTAATAAGGTGTGTTGTCTATCTTGTGAATTGAAGTCTTTCACCTATCAATCTATGCACAAACAAAAAATAAAATAAAATCTATTCTAAATGAGGAGATTTCCAGAAGGCTTTTAAATTTGTTGATAAGTGATTGACTGTGGATCCAATTTTATCTTTCCTACATATCCGGAAATTTAATTTGTTTGAGATCAAAATACAAAAGTATTGAGTTTCTTCTAATAAATCATAGTTTGTAGAAAATTTCTCATCATTTGTGCCAAAGTAACATTAGATGACTAATCAAAGAGAGCAAACAGAGAAAAAAGAACATGGACTATTATATTATACCATGGTAAAATACTTGTATGCCTTTTAAATTTACATGAGCTCTTAGTAAATTAGACCTTTTTATTGCATGACAATAATAAAAATCTATAAGAAGTTTTTCAATCCAATTTTGTGATATCTTTTGGACGAAATATTTCTATATTTTCTTTTTAAATTTAGATTATTTAAATAAATAATTTTCATGTATGTATGTATGTGTATATATGTATGTATGCATATATATATACATATATATATAAATTATTTATGAAAAATAAAAAAAGATGATATATAGAATTTGTAAAACTTTATAATGTAATACACAAAACAACTATAATATTTATTTTATTCTAATTTATTTCAAATTAAAAAAAAAATTAAGATAAGGTTAGTAATTTTTTTATATGGTAGGAAGTTGGAGTTTAAAATATAAAATCAGATTACTATTTTTATTTCAAAATTTTTTTGCAAGACATTTTTTAAAAAATCATGTTAGAAATTTAAATGAGATATTTTGACAATGTTATAAGCAAAGAATACTAGAAAATTTTAAAATTGTGGCTAAAATCTTCAGGAACCATTTAGTTATTTTTACTATTTTTTATAAATATTTAAATGTCTCTAAAACCTTTTCAAAAATTATAGAAATATTTTATGAAATATTTTTTATATTAATAAAATATTCTACAATTTTTAGAACCTTATATAGATACTTTTATATGGTCTAATTATAATGGTATAAAATTTAAAAGAGAAGAAAAGGAATATCTAAAACTTGCCAATAAAAGATTCAAAACAATTTAAGTATTATATTGTTCTAAGTCAAATATCCAGTTTTATTTTTAATCTAATGTTTTATTTGACTTTTATGTCTTAATGTCTTTTTCATTGTATTAGCCTATTTGAGTATTTAGCAAGCCATATATATATATATATATATATGGCTCAAGCTACAAGCACATCCCAAGTTGCTATATACGCACCTCAAAAAATTAAAGACCTCTATTTGGTTGCTTGTTTTGTAGAGATTAACACCTCCTATTACTACAGAGGTTCTATTGTCATCCCTTGCAATAGTTTTGTGGGCTGGTCATTGGGTAGGATGAAGAGGCATCACCTTTACTTGGTTTTGATTTTAACTTTGTTTTTGTAGTCCCTCCATAACTCCTAGTCTTAGAGCAAGTCCTTCTTCTCCAATTATAAATCAATATGCATTAGAAGAAAACCACCTCTTTAAGTGATATTAGAAGTATTTAATTAGATGGTTCTATAATATTCATATAATTTTTATTTTTTAAAAAAATCAAAAATATTATATTATATATTGTGTTTAATATAAAAAATATGCCATATTTGATTTACATTATTAGAATAAACTTCTTAAAATTAATATACATAAATTTTATTTAAAATCCGAAATACCTTTTTTATCTTATGCAATTTAATTACAATTCTATTATAGTTCTTGTAATTTGACATTTAATATACTACTAATTTTTTTTACACTAATGTCTATGCATCTCTTTATAGACTATGTGGGTCAATATTAATTTAGTATTTAATCTTGCATTTTTCAAAGAAATAATCTTTCATTCATACAATCAATTTTGTATAATATTGAATTCTATACAAACACATTATATGGTGCATAAGCTATTGGTTAAAATTGATGTTATTGGTTTTCAGATCAAAACATAATATTTTATTATTATCCACATTCCTAGAATCTACAAGAAATACTTCATGTATTATATAGAATTATTTAGTCATTAAAAGCGTTTTCAAACTTAAATCACAAATAATATATTTCTATATTACTTTATTAATGTAGTAATCTAGAATAAGAAGCCTTGGATCAACAATATATGATATTTCTTCTTTGCTATTTTCATTCATAAACGAAGTTCTTGATAACACATGTAAACATCTTCTCCTAATAAGTTTCCTACTAAAGTCTCATGCTGAACTATTTCAACATTAGTAAAGCCCCCTCAGGTATATTGGTCACAAAGACATTTCTTTCTATTTAAGGTTGCACATCTCCTATATCATTTGGTTGTATACTTTTGTTGGGATGAAGACTTGTAAAGTTCTAATCATATCTAACTGAAAAGAAAAGACCTTCTTCTTTAGAAAATTGTTGCTATCTTCTTTTACTCTAAATTTCTACTTTTATAACCATATTCCATTCTTGTGTATGAAAATCTTTTGAATAAGACACTTGTTAGACGTGGATAGAAAAAAAAGAAAAAAAGAATTTGATCAAATATTAATTCACATTAAAGAAAAAAAAATTGCAATTGTAAATTTGTAGTGGTTATGCTTAATTTTTGGATTTGCCTCTTCATATTGCGCTCTAATCTAGTTGTATGATAGTACTACAATGGTATAATTTCCATAATTGAGCTAAAGTATTTCTTCAATCTAACTCAAAATCTTCCTTCATAAGGACCAATAGATGCATTGTGTGCTCAAATCCCAATCTATAAAATCTATTAAGATTGAATGTAAACATTAATATTGTCAAAAGTTGGTGATTTTTTTCCAAAAATTAGTAACATTAATGATAGAAAAATCTTTTTGTCACTAGCCAAGGCGGAAAATTATACATCAATAGTAATATTGGCCAAGATAAGTATAAAGAATACTGCAAGGAATGTGGATTAATACCATCCAATAACAATGCCAATCAAAAAATTTGTTTTTTTTGGTGAAATAATTATCAAGGACATTAGCTTTCTTCCAAGTCAAAATCTCTACTACAAATATCATCTTATTATCTACAAATTCATTTTGATAGTGATATTTTAGTAACTCTTTAATTATAAGTGAGCAATACATTAATTGTAACTATGGTATAGGAAAAAAGTATTGTAATACTTCTAGTAGTATAGTGACTAAGCAAGATTTATACTTAGATTTGTTAAATTTGAGATATTTATTAAGCTTTATATTATCTCTTTAAAATAAAATACAAGTGTCTCAGCAATAGTAAATGACTTTTTACTTTAAGCCTAGTTTGTTTACCATCTTCTTAATTACATAGTGAGACTTTGACAAAAAATTATTGCAAGGAAGAATTGTAGAAGAAATAAAATTTATAAACTCATGAATAAAGATATAATTTATCTTTTAACTAGCATCAAAGATAAGTTTAATATGAAAAACACTGCTAAAATGACGTTTATTAAACTTCTTAGCCAAAGTTGCCTTAAAACCTCAATATATATCTATTCCAAATATATGTTGGAATAATCCTTTGATTCAACTTTTCTATCTCTATTATGTTCTTTCAATGGTGATGTAGCCATTATTGTTTGTTGATTCAATTTATTAGATGTCCACATTGTATCTAAAAACATCATATATACTTCATAGTATGCATCCATTATACTTTTTGAGATATCTCTATTTCCATCTAAATTTGAATTACAATTGTAAAAATCCTAATTTAAAAAAATTTAGTTTCTTGTAATATCTATTCAAGTTCTTGCAATAGGATATCCCTTTGAGAGGTCTCTTCCTACCATTGATCTTATAAGGTATGGATCTCTACTTCATTTATTTAAATGGATTCAGATTGCTTATATTTGTATACAAGTTCCATATTGGCAGTCTTTGCAAGGATATTGGTATCTCTTTAATTTGCAAGGATATTGATATCTCTTTAATTTTTTTTATCTACCATTTTTATTTCAACATCAAGAATTAAATTCTTTGTGGCTTTCTATTCTATATGCCTTTGTTTGTATTAATGTGTATATATAACATATGCTACAAAATTATACTTTTTATTGCATAAATTTACAATCCAATAAAAAAGTATTTGATATTTTTGTATTTGATTATTTATTCTCTCATTATTATAAAAAATAATAAAACTAGTTCAGTTATTATCAATCCTTAAAAAATACTATGTTTAAATGGTGGCTTCAATATGGTAAAAATGTAAGAATTTCAAACTATTACTTCAACAAACTTCTTTGAACAATTTACATTAGAAACTTGTATGTGAAATTTGTCCTAAGGTAGAGCCAAAGCATAAGTCTTCCTTACATACAATACAATGTCATGACTTTTGAACATCATATCTCCAATATTTGGATCTTCTAACTATAATGCATATATCAAAAATCAATACAAAAATTACATTAGTTTATTTTAATTTAAATTAGATAATCATTATTAAATGATTGATGTAAGATACTTATTTTTGAAGACAATCCAAAGTAAATATATGCACCAATTCTTGACTACAAAACTTGTTATAGTAAATATCTAAAACTTATTTGACTTCTATTTCAGTTTGTTCATCTTGACACTTTCTTGAACACAAATGCCATAGCCACCAACAAAGGTTAGAGTTTCAAGAAATTTAATATTAAAATTTATACATAAAATTAAAAAAAACTTGTTCATTATATAATTGCATTTTCTTCAAGTACTAATAATATTATAATATTTAGCATAACATATAGAAAGCTTTTCTTATATCCACCTGCAATAAATGTGAGGTATTTCAAGCTTACATTCTTACAAAATGAAAAAAATTATAATTTAATTCTATTATATTCATTGCTATATTACCAATGCATAATTTTGAAGAGCCACAAAGTACACTACAACTATGCTCTTTACTCAAAACAATAATTTTATTTTTTATTTTTTATGCACAACATGGATCCACAAAAAATCATGCAAACATCAGCTTTTACCTTATTTGCCAAGATGAATAAAACTTTGATTGATGAAGATGTTCTTTCTGCCCAATAATGAAAGGCTGTTAGCTATCAAGTAAATCTTGAGCTACTCTATAGGAAGACTTTTGAGCTAGAAATGTAAACAACCAGTAATCATTTAATACAAAATATAGATAAATGCTTCAAAGATTCAAAGTCACCATTCTCTACAATACCACATTGTATATTATTTACTTTCAAAACTTCATTATATTTGACAAGTATTATAATACGCTTGAAATTGCACAATGTATAAAAGAGAAAGAGTTTCTAAAAGGCGGACAACATTCACAATCTTTCTAGCATCTTCTATCTATATCCAATTACACTCTTGAGCTTTTGTGGTAGCAAATTTTGGAGCAATTTTGTACTTCTATATTGCTTTCTTTTAAACTCACATTAACTAATTTGTCAAAGCTTGCAAAAAATAATTAATACTATGAACTATCATATCAATTCCTTATATAGGAGTTTTCCAATAATGTGCCAACTTTGTTTAAGTGTGTGTAGTCAAGTTTTCTTTATTTTCTGATAATGCACCGCTAATTCTCAATATTTTATTCTAAAGATGATGTGGATTAAATCATGCATGCAAATATGCATGTTTATTTTATAAGATTTATGGTTTCATTACTATAAATTGTCTTTAAATGCATCAAGTATACAATATATTAAATTATATTTATACATAAATAGAAATCAAGTCCAAATCCAAACTTATATTAGAATTGGAAAATTAGACTATCATGAGGTTGTTGTTCCTCTTTAGGTTTGTCATCTCTTGTTCTATTCTTTCTCCATGCCAATTTGCACTGTCCTAGCTAATCATTATAAAATGGATTTGTGCTTTGAAATAATTTATAATTCTAATAAGATAGTAATGATTTGAACATTATGTATGTTGCTTCTAGATATCTCTTATTAAAACAATTCCAAGTGCAAATATTTGTATTGAATTGTTTATAAAGCCATGTATAAGAGTATTTACAAATAAAGATTTCAAGGGTAAGGAATTGGATTTAGGAGAACCACCACTTATAGGTTCTAAAAACTCTCATAATAAGGTTAATTAATTGTTGTTTATTATTTTTTAAATCCTATCAAATTCAATTGATATTTTGAGTAGTATACTTATTCTTCTTAAGAAATACTAAGCGCTTAAAGTCATTGCAACTTTGGGTGCATAATTATTTAACAATTTTTATTATAGACAAATTTGAAAGTTACACTCAAAAAACTTGTACTAAGATTTTAGTAGAAACAAGGAGATGTAATGGTGTGCAGTAATTTTTTTTGGTATGTCGGCTCAATTGAACTACGGTTAGTACGACATTTTTTTTTTTAAGACAATAGAAGTTTGTCATTAGTTTTTGCTAAATATCTAAATTGTTTTATTTGCCTTATCATTTCATACTATGTCACTATACTCCTAGGTATATTTTGCATTTACAAAACTCTCTTACAGACACCTAAGCTTGCATTAAAAAAGAAAAAAAAACTATGTTTATCACAGCAAGCATTACTAATAAAAAAAATCTAACTAAAAACTACAATTATTTTTTAATATTTTATGTTTAATATTATTTTATTAAAAATATCATTCTTATTATTTTTATAATATTTAAATGTGATTTTTTTTTATTAAAATAACATAGTTAGAATGTATAATTTTATTCAAATTATATTTATATTACAAAAATAAATATTTATTCTATAACTTTTTAGTAGTCTTTAATTTTTTTATATTTAAAAAATACAACATATTACCAACTAAAAATATTCTTATTTTTATTCTTTTAAAAATATGAAACTTCAATTTACTTATATGGATTTTTTTATTCTTACATAATATTTTATCTAGACATAAAATCATATTTTTTTTATAATTTTCTTATTTTAAACCATAATATCTATAATTTTGAATTTTTGCTAAACTCTAATTGTAAAGATAATATCTGACCTATTTAGATATCATCTATTAGGTACATTAGTTGAATCAATCAAGTTAATCCACTATCTTAGTTTTGTACACAAGTCTAATATTGCTTCAATATTATTTCTTAGTTTACACTTTAGCAAGTATTATATATATATATATATATATATATATATACATATGTATTTTGTCTCTCGCATTTGATGCAATCTTTGTATAGTATTATATGAAAGAAAAATATCATATATACCGCTCAAATATGTCAAAATTTCAAAAATACCCCTATATTCTTGATAATAGCATATATCCCTAGAATTGTTGATAAAAACATATATACCCCCCACCTTGATAAGGTATTAGAAATCTGTCAATTCCATTAATGTTTTTGTCTTTATATGAACCCAAATATGAACCCAAATAATGGTTTTTGTGCCAGATTGTTTGAAAAAGAAGGAGAGTGCCGCAGCTCACAGACAGTGCACAGCATGCGGCTCTCTTCCCCGCAGCATCCCGTCCCAGGGTCTTGCAAAGTGCAAATCTTCTGCAAAGCAGAGATCTCCTTCAGTAGAGGGAGCTGTGATTGCGACTGCCAAATTGCGAGTCATCGGTTTCCGGGTGCCAACGTTGGTGCAGGCTCTTGCGAGCGGCGCAAAGGCTCGAGGCTGCCACCATCAACGCTAGCGATGGAAATCTAGTCATTGTGGAGAGTGCGGTGCGTGCTCCAGGCTCACTCAGACCAGCTCACATGAGCATTGAGCGTCAGTGTGTTTTTCGCCACAGATCCTCTTCTTCTGTCCGCTTGGCATGCTGCTTTGTTGTTTTCATACGAGATCAAAGCAGCTAGTCTGGTGTCTGGCGCGCATTCGTCGCGGGTATCGTCCTCCATCCGCCGACGTCTTCATCAACGGCATGAATCGAAAGATGTGTGCCGAATTGTGTGCACAGCGAGAGAAAGAGATGGATTGATAGTTGAGTCCATTGAGTGCCTCCACATTGTTTCCGGAGAGTACATTGGATTTTGGTAGATAGTATTTGCAATGGCTTTTAAGGTGAGAAGTGCTGGATACAATATATGAGACATTTTTACAGAATATATATACACACACACACACATATATATATATATATATATATATCCAACAATCACAACATCAGAACCCTGTAGCTCTGCAACAAGTAAAACGCACAAGCTCATCGCGCTATACTTCTTCACAGATACCTCGCCAGTTACAAAACCCTCACGACCAGCTAGACTCACGGAGGCGAACCTGAAAGCTCAGCCACTTATCAACACGAGAATTGTTTCTGAAAAAACTCAATGATATGTCATATTTTGCACCGAGCAGGGAGACCACTTTATTGGGCACGTACACGAGCTAATTCCGAAGGCTGCAGGGATACTCCTTGAAGGAGTCACTGCTGTGTGTGCCCGTCGTTGTCTTAATTCAGGGGGAGCAGCATTGTTGACTGGGAATTCTGTGAATCAAATCCGAGCCTAAACAAAGGACACTGCGGCTCGCAATTGCCGAGTATAAAAATCGAATCCAGGTGGTACTTGAGGACGGTATTCACCAAGTCTGCTGTTATAGCTTGAGCCCAAATACGAATATCAATCCCAAATTGCGTTACAAATAACGATAACTAGGCTTGACCAAGTTGTTCACAGACTTGGGCAACAATGGTAGCGGTGGTCATCAAAACGTTCCGAACTAGATGTCAACCTAATTATTTAACACTTGCAACTCGCTACCTCGTTGAATCCGCCAGCGTTGTGTGGGATCCAATCTATATGTGTGGCAACGTTGTTTTGTGTTTGACTACTACAGAGCTCGATCTCTGCAGGGACTGATATATTCTCATCTCTGGGGACTGACTCAATTATGTTCAGATATTTGTATATGACTTTGTACATGACAACCAACCTAGGGAATTAAATGTGGAGATGAAATAAGATTTAAGATACAGATCAAATATGCTATTGATTTTTAAGAATAAAAACATACTTGTTAACAATTATTCTATCTAACTGTATCTGCACTAAAATATTTTTCTTTTGCATATTGTCTCTGTTAAAACACACATAAATGATGCTGGTTACTAAAAACATGTTAAAAAGGATACAATAGAAAATGAGAATCATAATATCACATAACTACTAATTTCAAGACAAAAATTTTACAACTATATTTTCTGAAATAAACACATTTTATTTCAAAGAACCGGAGTTTACAATAAAGATTACTTTCAAAAGATGACTAACTTACAATTCCTGCATAACTCAGCATTTTCAAGAAGAGAGATGGTGATTTATTATCAGAAGTACCAAATTACAAATCTAAAATACTCATCGTGGACTGAAGGAAGAATCTGAAGGTAAGTACAACCGAAAGTTGTAAACCAAAAAAATCTACACTTGAAACGAATCGGTCCCAAACAAGTTGATCCATAATGTTTGCATCGCAGTTCCAACCGTCACGATTTCCAAATGAGGTTGTGTGCCGTGATTCGGGACACTGTTCCTAGCCGTGTCCCGTGACGAAATGAATGGTCACCGGTGCAGAAACGCCAACCACTGGTCCCACCTCCAAAATCCACCTCACTCTACACGCTGCTTGCCAGCACATTCCCCTAACCTTGCACCGAAACATGACATCGAAACTAAGTCATCACCCAGCACCCTATACCGATTTCGAAGACCATTCAGCTGAAAGTATCGCAGCATACAACAACCTCCACATCCATATGCGAGAAAACTCTGAGGGTATGTCCATTATGAGTCAGCGCTTCTTTCTTCTGGAACCAAATTCGCGAACGAACTCCCAGCTGCAAGCAAGACATGACGAGCACTCGTGGGGCACTTTCCTCCAACATCTACTACAACTCCAATTCTTCCCAGGTGCACGTCGAACAAATGTAGCTCGTCATTGCCACATTCAGTCCCTGTTTCCGATGTCGACGTGATGAAACCCACTTGCGCGACGTGATAGAGATCGCTTCCAATGTGGAATTGCCGACTACACATCGTTGGTTATTGCCATCTTCTGACCCAATCACAACACTTGCAGCTTGTCGGCCACGGCACAAACCCCGAGCACCCTCCCTCTAACCAACCCAATGCCCGTTTCCAGTTCTCCGCATTCACATCGCCATCGCAGACTCGCCGGCCCCCACAGCAGCCAGCACTTCGGACCTAGACATCGACAGAAACAACGAGCCATCTTCACACATGTTTCCCCAAACGAATTGCATTGCAAATCTTTCAATATTGTAAATGATTTACACCTCATCGCGACGCTGCACTACACTCCTAAATCCTCGTTACATCATTATCCACACACTCTGGGATGCTCCACACATTGATTCACAAACGTCTACTTCTACATGTCGCTGCAGCTGGTCCTCCGTCTAGTTCTGAATGCGGTCAGCTCCCTTCTGAGCATCCCTCTTCAGGTCGTGCGCGGTGTCGCGGGCAGAGTCGCCCACGTCCTCAGCCTTGCGCTCCGCGCTCTTTCCTGCGTCCTGCGCAGAGCTCGTCGCCTTGTCGGCGTTCTTCTTCAGGGAGTCGGCGGCGTCCTGCACGGCGTTCCGCGCCTTGTCGCCCACATTCTCAGCCTCGCCACGGGCGTCCCTGGTGGCGCTCTTGACGCTGCCCTCGATTTCCCGGCCCTTGTCGGTGGCCTTGTCACCCAGCTTCTCGGCCTCGTTCAGGCCATCGCGACCCACGTCCTTGGCTGCGTCCTGTGCTTCGTCGGCCTTGCCCGACAAGAAGTTTCCGGCGTCCTCGAGCTTCCCCTTCGCGGCGCCCGCGGCGTCCTGCACCTTGTCCTTCACAGCTCCCGCGGTCTGCTTGGCCTTGTTGTACGCCGCGCCGGCGGCATTCTCCACTTCGTCGACCACGCTGTCCTCGGCACGCACCACCACAGTGGACCGAGCGGGAGACGACCTCACACTGGCAGCGGAGTGGGCCACATTCAACCTCAACCCTCCGAGGCAGCTGGCGAAGCTCAGCTTACCTGGCTGGAGACGGACACGACGTTCACAGCCTGAGCTCCTGCAACGTTCACGCTAGCCATCGCCAAGGACGTCATTCTTGCAATCTGGTGGGAGCCAAAGAAACGAATCTGCCGCGAGAATTCGACCGCTGAGAGGACTGGAGAATCGGAAACGAGATGGAGAGTAGAGAGATTGATAGCAGAAGAGGCGCTTTGACAGATGTCGATTACGATGGCTGGTGATGGAGTGGGAGCGGGTGGAGCAAAGTTTTATAACCCAGTCGAGAGCGTTGCTTCTGGCCGCATGAGCTCCGGCTCAACCCACACACGAAAGCAAACGACGTGGTCGTAGGCTGCCAAGTGGCTCGCCTGCCCGTGCTTGTGGGTGCTTTGGAATTGTATCTCAATTCCCAGCCAATTTTCACTTTGGGACAGCAATATTTTGGGTTGTTGTTTGCCAATTACACGGCGAATTTCAGTTCTACGGTGGATAAGTTTTGCGGAGTGAGATCCATGGTTGAATAGCGCTGTTTAATTGGATTTTGTTTTATCCATAATACAACATAAATGTTATTGTTTGACACATTATTTCATTTCATTATCGTTATTGTTTTTCTTCTTCTCACTTGGAGATCATTACATAACCTCACAAACATTGTGATGAAGCTCTTTATGAGTTTTTTTTTTTTTTTTTTTTTAAAGCTTAGAATAAGTGATCAGGATTGACTTGCAATAGGTGGTTTTGGAGTTGCAAGACTGTAGGATTTGTATTTTGGCAAAGCAGTTTGTTGATGTTGATACCAAAGAGGATTTGAATTTGAAGGAGGATTAAAATACATGCATATAAAGTCATGTTTTATAACCTTGTATTCATGTTTTGTTTTGGTATTTGTACTAATTAATACATAAATTTTCTTTTGTATATATATATATATATATATATACAAAAATGTGTTTTTTGTATTTCATTTCTTATTCTTTTCATATTGGACAAGTTTAATAACTTCTAAGATTTGGAAGTTTTTAACTCTTCAATAACTACAGTAGTGATGATTGAAAACAATGTGAAAGTTACAATATATAAAAATTAAAGAACAATACTATATGAAAAATAAATTGGATTTCATATAATTAAATTACAAGTGAAATGCATGTGCACAACAATTTTCATATTAAATTGTATTATGTGAATTTTTAGAAATAATATTTCAGATATTTAATATTGAAGTGAATATTACTTGTTTCGAATTTTTCATATTCTCTTCATCATTGCCAACTTGTTGTTGAAAAAACTCATTGCACAATTAGCAAAGATAAGATTCATTGATTATAATTAAGTTAAAAATGGTTTCATTCTTTAATTTTTTTATCTTGATCTATATAATTTTCTTATTATATATATACTACAACACTAAATACCTTCATTCTTTTGATTAAATTTTATTTTTGAATTTTCAAAGGTTAAGATTGATTGGATTTACTTTAAAAATATGTAAAGGATTTGAGTTTTCTTAGGATTTATTAAGTGTAGGATTTACTTCAAACTTCTAAGGTTTAGGTTTTTATTGTAATTTCTTAGGTTTGGAGCTTATTTAAAGTTGCCAAGGTTGAAGATTTAATAGAGCTTGTTAGAATTTAAGATTTATTTAGGATATATTTGTAACTTCTTTAAATAAGGCTTTGTTTCAATTTTCTAGAATAAAGAATTTGATATAATTTAGGAGTTAAATTGTTTAAATCTTGGCTAAAATAAGTATTATCTAAGATTTATTAGGATATGGATTGGCTTACGAATTTTTATGATAAGGCTTCAAGAAACCTTAGATAGAAGCAAACTAAGTAAATTAGTCAATTAAATAGTTGTTGTGCATATTAGATTCTATTTGCTTATTGTCATAGGATTAAAGAGTATTATAGGGGCTTGTATTAAATGCACATCAAAGAATATTGAGAGCAAAGTTATTAATATATATATGTTAATTTAATTTTTATTGAACAATTATATGTGGTACTAAACATAAGAATACTTCACAAATATGTGATAGCTTATAATAGTACATTATTTGAAAGGTAATAAGTAATTAGAAGTCTTTTGAGGATTTATCATTATTCAATTATTTATATCATTAAATAAAGTAATTTTCCACCTTATACTTATTATGTTCAAAATAATAATAATAATAATAATAAAATAATTAATAAAATTGATTAGCTTTTTTTTTATCAAAATATAAGTTACTATATTTGCAACCAAAACATACTAGTCTATTTTGTTTGTTATCTTTGGACAAAACTAAGTTTTGATAACCAATAACATTAAAGAGAAGATTTTGCATAGATGGTTTAATCTTATATCTTTCTATAATACACCCATAAGCATTACAACCTTGAATAAAATAAAATAAAATACATACAAATATAAGAAATTATAATAATTATTAAACATATAAAGCACAAAAAAAGAATTATATCAATAAATTAAAGATATTAAAGATTAAAAGTAGTCATTAAAAACATAGTAGAAATATTACAAAATAAAATATATTATCAAAACATATTTCTAAACAACATAAAAAGTTTGTATAATATATAAAAAATATAAAAATAACTTCAAAAATAATAGAAACAAATAAGAGTCCCAAATCCTTTATTATTAAAGGTGTAAACAAACAGAGAGAGTTTTCTAGATAGAAGTGCCTCTTTAAAACCAACTTGAGTAAATCTATCAAGATATTGAAAAGAATTCAACCTTTAGCAAAGTGTAACTTGTTATAAAAATTCTCAAAATTTTGATCTTATTCCACAAAATTTTTGTAGCATACTAATTTATGTCTACTTTATACTCATAACAAGAAGATTTCTTAGATTTACTTGTGAGGTTGATGTGCTTACTTCTCTTAGCTAAATAACTTGTTGGTATAGACATTAAACCTTAATATTGAAGTCTTTTGTAGACAAAGAAATAGAACTTTTATAGTTGGCATTGCTAATTTGTGAAATTTTCATTCTAAGAATATTGGCAAGTTTGAAAAGATTTGAAATAGTTTCAAGTCTATTTTTATTACTATCAAATATATCATTTGTAATTTTTTTTTCTATCTCTATAACAAACAACTTTAATAAATTTACAAGTCAAATTAGAAGAAGGTAATCTGAAACCTCTAATATCAAATATTTTTTTTGATAAAGAGTGGTAATCCACTTTTTTTAATAAAAAAACCATATAAGAAGGAAAAATATAAATATAAATATATATATATATATATATATAATTTAAAGATAAATAAATTATTAGCTTTTAAATAATACAATAAAAAGTGGAATAATTCACTCGTTTTTATAAAAAAATCAATATAACAAATTTTGATCCATGTCAAATTATCAAGGATATGAACTACAATAAAAAAAATTAAAATGATAATATTTTTTCATATCACCAAAAGAAAGAAAATAAACAATCAAAAAAATAGATATAGAATTGAAACTAAAATGGCTATTGTCAAATGTAAAATCACTAAGAAGTCTTGAATCAAAATGCAATATAAAAAAAATATTGATAATAGAAAAGAAAGCCTAATTCTTACTTGCATATATACTATCTACCAAAATATGTACATTATATAGCCAACTTGTAATGCAAGTAGTTAAATGTACAATATGTGGCCAACTTGTTGGCAAAGTTGTCAACCTATCAATCACTTATAAACATGCATAAAGTCTATAGAGATTTTAACAAGCTTTTTAATAACATATCAATAATTTAATAGATTTCTACTTATATCTATCTAATTCTACTTTTCTAAATAAATATAATACTAAATATAACCATCTATTATAATAATAGTAATAATATGTTATTTTTTATTTTTTATTTTTTTAATTCAAAGAATTGATGTAAGAAAGATTTATAAAGATAAAAAAATTAAAGGTTGAAATAATATAGAGCCATAGAATATAGATGGATAAGGACATATAAAATTTTGGCATTAAAATAATAATTATAATAGAAATCATGATGTAAAATCAAAACTAATTATTTTTTGTAAGAATGTGTGGCATAAAAACATATATGAATATAACTAATAGATCATTGAATGATTTCATTTCAATTTTTGTAATCATCTTTTTTTACTTGTAGTATTTTTTTATCTAATTATGGTAGAAATGATGTCATAAGGAAGTTAGAAGTAATTTAGAGGTAATTTAATTTTAATCTAAATTGTTATTCTTCTAATTCTCATAAGTGTTATAATTTCTTATGAATCAAGGTATGTGAGTAGACACGTGTGTATACTCAATTCTATTTTAAATACAATAGTGGTATTGATACAAAAAAATATTATAAGGGCTCATTTGATAGCTATTAATATTGATCTTAGATTTTAATCCTTCAATTAATTAAGGTTGTGGCTCTTAATTTGGCATCCTTTGGATTCAAGGGTGAAGATATAGCCACCATCTTTAGGTCTTAGGAAAATAATATAAGGAATCCTAAAGGCTCATATGGTTAGAACATTTATTTTCTATTGATAGATGAAGCCAAATCTCAATATTTGATTGATTTTATAAGCAACTTTGGTACTTGTTAGTTATTTCTTTTAAATTTGGAATTTTAAATTTTAAAACTTAAAACTAGATAGGAAATTATTTTTTAATATTTTAGACATAAAAACTTTAAAACTTGAAGTTCAAACAAAGATACAATATCTAATTTAGTGAAGGATAATAAGTTGCCTTCAAAGTTTAATAGCTCTATTTTTGAAGGCTATCTTTATTGTTCATAAGCTGCAAAGCAATGAGAATTATTTTATTAGAGAATTATTTTATTAGAGAGCTCATAAAATTTGATCTTTAGGAAGCTAAGAATTAATAATATTAGAGCCAAGATGTTGTAGAAGTACTAACTTTTGTGGCAATGGATTTGCTGCCCTTGAATTCAAGTGGCTAATTGAAGATATTACATTAAAGAACAAGATCAAGAGAATCAAGACAATCTAAGGCCTCAATTTTTGAAAGAAAGTACTATTTATAGTCAAAATTATACTAAATTTAGGTATATTAACAAGTAATCAAGGATAAGGCCATGGTGTTAATATAATTATAAGAAAAACTTAAATCTTTGATAGATTTATATTAAAAGATATTTCAACTAATAATAGATATTATATATTTAATTTAAAATTAATTTATTATAAATAAAATTATAAATATAATACAATAAAAAATTTCTAAATATAAAACAAAGATATGTAGTTTTAATAAATAATTATCTATAGAGTACTAATTAAAATAAGTAATGAAATAATAAAAATTAACCACTTGATAAAAGAAATATACAAGTGTATAAATATATTTAGCTAATTGAAATAAAAATATATTCATGTTGATAAATTGATAATGCAAAGTAGTAAAAATATACAAATAATACATTGCTTTTTACCTAAGAATTTTTTTTTAAAAACCATAGTGTTTACTGTTTGAAAAAAAATAATAATCCACCAAAAAAAAAAATTTAGAGCATAAATGTATAAATGTACATATAATGTACAAATGCCACAGCAACATTGTTGAGGGCAGTAGCTACTACCAATCATGTCGAAGGTGGTTGCAAAGTGATCACCAAGAACCGCAAAACCAGGAAGATCATTAATTCCTTCGGAGCATCTTAGTTCCAAAGAATTCCTTTCGAATTCTGATCTAATTTCTGTGAAGCGTACTATTACTGAAAATACCATCATGAAGAATCTCAGGATATTAACAACTCATGAAAGAAGAAGAAGAAGAAGAAGAAGAAGTCTGTCAGTGGAAGTGTGTGCTTTAATAGCACGCAAATGGGTTTCTATTGATACATTCAGCACATGTAAAGTGTGCCGACATTGCATTCTCCAGCAATGGGTGGTTTTTTAGACCCTGAAAGTCATGGTTCAGCTCTGCCTATACACTTGCATCTGCTAACTTTCTATGGAAGTGAAACTTGTAGTCATCTTGACGCATCTGCTTAGAGTACTCCTCCAGGTTGAAGTTGTCTTCCTTGAGTAACTCCTCCAGCTGGCCAGCATCAAACAGTTCGTTTACAAGTTGCATGGATGCAGGGTCGTTGGTATACACAAACTTCACCTTCCGGGCTGTTTTTGCATCCAGAAACGGCTTGACTACCTGCCCATGACGTTGTAATGTTTCTGTTAAGTAAATGCAGCACTTCGGAATTGAAAGAATGCATGCCAATCCATATCATGATTTCATGATTTTTCGACTGTTGTTTACATGCTCACACAAGAGTTTAAAATACTGTAAGTGAACAACATACATTTCATCCGACGTCTCTACCCACGCAGCTATGAACAGCATAAACCATAAGAATGGCCTAGGTTTGGCAAACGAGTGAAAGGAATGTGGCACTCTAAGATGCTTATTGAGGGAAAAGCATGAGAAGCTTAAATGCTTTGACAGTCTGTAGGATGACTATATACACTTATCATTTTCATGGTTCACGAGGCTCAGCTCGTTAGGTTGGCACAACAAACACTGCTATATAACAGGTTTGTGCGAGAATGTAGGAACCCACCTGCCAGAACGTTTCGAAGATGTGTGGAGGGTTGATTAAGATTCCATAGCCAAGACGTTCAGGGTAGTGTCTTTGCAACACATGTGCCGCATCCTGAGTAGTTTTGATAGAAATAGGCTTGGTCATGCTCCAATTCTTGAAGTCCACCAACCAAATCATCTCCTCTTGATCCTCAGGTAGATTCGCAATGGCATTCTCCATCGAATAGACAAGCTGCTTAACTTGGCCCTCTCGCGACGTAGTATTCTGCAGCAGCAATGAAACCTCAATTAACACCCCCATTCTCATTTCGCTGCGTGAACCCTGGATTCAACTCAAGTGCGAGCTAAACTGGGTGCCAATATTCTCAGCATCTGCAATCGCTCACCTGTTTTGCGGGGCGCATCACCAGAACCGAACGCCCCTGCTTATCGACAGTGGCAGCTCTGTATACTTTCCCCGTTTCCGCTTCCTTGGCAACGTCCTCCTGCATTTGCAACACGTCAAGAAGACGTCATTTCACCTTCCCAGCACGGTAATGAATTGGAAAATTGCGAGTGCCTCGGATGTCCTTGCTCGTTCAGTCCTTTTCAAGACATGCAATGACAATTGTCTACTACAACCAGAATAGTTTTTAGCAAACATTCGTACTTAAATAAAATACGCATTTACCAAATATGCAAAAATGATGTCTTGTCAAGAGGTAGCGCTAGGGGTGAGGGAACTAACCCAGCGGATATCTTCTGGTTTGTAGGAAGCTCGCCATGCCAAAGTGTCTCGTAACATCTTTTCTGCTTTCTTGACGTTCCAACTGCGAGCTCGAAGATACCGCCTGAGACATGCATCCGTTGCATAATGGCCATCGCGTTCGCTAAGTGGCTCCAAAGCCGTCCTTAAATCCTTGACCTGTCAACCCGATTTTTTTCCTGAGTCACCAAAGTTTTTTGGGTCTCCAATCGGAAAACAATACCGGTGAAGGATACAAGTAAAGAATGCTAACTTCTTGAAATTCCGCGTTGCTGGTTTAATTTACGGTGTGTACTCTGAAAAGCTGTCACCCGTTCATGGCGATAATAAGATGACCGTCGACACAATAACAAATGCCGCTTTTCAGAATCCCATTTCAGTAACTAGACGGTGACATGACAAGGGTAAGAGCACGATGGGTAATTGACAGGTACCCTAGCATTCTCATCTGTGTGAGAGGTAGATTCATCCTGCCCCGATCCTCCTCTGCGCATAAACCTCTTCATGTGAGCTGTGCGACTTGAAATTTTCCCACCGCACAACCGTCCCTCTCTAAAATTTTATCATGCAAAAGAGAGAAGAAAGGTCACATCAATCAACGTTGCTTCCCAACAGACACAACAAATTATTGCAAAACGCTTCAATACAACCAGAATTTGATTTGGTAAACCAAGGGCATCCAAACAAGACTCACCAACTACAGTCTCTGAGCTCACTTCCCACCAAATTTCGAGAACACTCCACCAATAGCCTCAAAATCGCTTCAACACGCTCGAAATGAATCAATTCAATATCAGTGCAAGCTATTCCAACACCACTGCAAGAGAAGAACGCCAAGCGGAACAATATGAGTGATCGAACACCAAAGGAATGTTCATGGAATGGCTTAATACACGACACAAACGAGTTTTAGAAGGAACCGAGATAGAGTAGAGTTTGAACATGTCGCACACATCACCACATACCTTGGGCAAGAAAAAGAGACGGATCTAAGGAATAGAAGAACGAAACCGAGTAGGTTCAAGAGAAAGTCTAACTCGTGGTGTGCAAGCTTCTGACTAGAAGCATCTCAGTGGGCTTCGTGAGACTCACCTGAAGTAGTCCCTAGGTTCAAGAGCCCTGCTCTGACCAACTTTTTTCATGACGCACGGCCGGGTATGCAGTAAATACTTTAGGTCATGAAGTTTATCGGTTTCTCTGTTCTTTCTTGGTTACGTCCGCGCGTGATTGCGAAGCCCACGGAGTTCTAATAACAGTATCAGGCCCCCTCACGTCAGCCTGTGTTTTCCACCTCGATGCCACAAAATCTTTACATAAACACTCGACCTAAGTGCTAGTTACCCACACGGAGACCCACATGATATCGGAGCAGAACCCTCGTCACCACAGTTCCACCGTTCGTTTTTTTCTCCAGGACGACGATTGAATTCAACAACAAAGAGCTGCTGAACAATGGTGATTGCATGGAACCAGTTGAGGGCACATTGCGAATACAATAAAATAGTTTGAAAACCTTGAATATACAGCCATTTCGCAAAATTGGGCAACTGCACGAGAAAATCCAGCGAAGAATATTAATCCTCAGGTGGAGCTTCGATGCCGTCACAGAAGATTCCTAAAAATACACACACAGATTGAAGTCAATTGAAAAAAGAGCTGATCTAATTGTGGCGTGGACCTTCATCCCGGACTCTGTGGAGCTTTGAGGAAGCTCCCGAGGCAAGTGCAGCAGTCGGCAAAATTGCGTCATGCAGATGCGAAGTCGTCACTTTACCTCCGAAAACGGCGAGCTTCTGCTTCCGACCGTGGATCACCGATGGGAGTCTGTGCCTCGCCGCCTTGTCAACTGCTTCGAGATGGTGTTGTGGGTCCCTCGGCATTCTGCGACACTTACGCGCGATTTCTTCGTCGACTGCTCGTCGTCGCCGTCATAGTCGTCGTTCAGGTCGCTATTGTCGTCACTGCCGCATTCGTCACCATTATCGTCGTCGTCGGTTCGTCGTATCCGGAACATCGTTCTCTAAAAGGAGATTCATTTTAAACTACAAAATGAGAAAATAAAGGAAGTTAATGTTATGCCTCTTTTAGCACTCCTACAATATTCTAAGGGGAATGTTAACTAGACCCAAGTTTTTATTAAATCAACTCACCCATCATTAAAAATTGAAAGTAAAAATGACGTCTAGATTCATTTCTCCACTATTGGATCTGCAACCAATAAAAACCAATTTCATTCATCATGATTACCATATTTTTCAGCAAGGGTGGGTCTATTTAATAAAAACATAGGTCTATTTAAAATTATGAAATGATTTTAGAAATTAAGCGCATCTTCTTCTTATCTCCTAAGCAAGGCATGTTTTCCAGCAAATTTTGTATTGGTGTTTTTTATTGGCTTTTTATTGGTTTTTTTTATTGGTTTTTTTTTTTTCCTCTAAAAATTTTCCTTTCTATTATCGTTCAAGCAACTATATAATATGTTATAAATTGATTTTTAAATTTAAAAATATTTATTATTTTTAAATTTTAATTATTTTTTAATATTTTGTAAGGATTTAATATTGATCATTATTTTCAAACTATAAGAATTATTTGGTTTTTTAATAAAAAAAATTTAAACATGATAGTTATTATACATACTTGCTGCAAAAAAACAAGACAAAATAATCAGCTTGGTTATATAATTTATTTATTTTTCTTACAGAAACTACACAATGATTCGGTATGACTAAAACTGGAATCTAAAAAATGGATTAAGATTGTTTTTAAATAATTTGTAAAATGAGTGATTTGTACTAACTAAAATTTAATACTTTAAGTCTCTACTTGTTTGTGCTGTGTAAATATCTTTGCATGAATTCTTTATTTGCACTTCTAATTGTGATACAATTCAAGGAGATGACAAAGTCATAAGCATTCACATGGGTATTAAAATAACAAACATTTAACTAGGTGCTGAAATACTAAAACTGTAAATGAACATTGAAGTGTTGAATGTTATAAATTCCACAAAAAATGCTTATATTTATATATTTAATTATTATTTTTTATTACTAATACCAATGCTAATGTTTATATGTTTAAATAAGAAAAGCAGAGAAGGCATAAGTTAATTTGGTGAATATAGATAAATAATCCATTGGTGTATGTCTCAATAGTCAATATTAATTCCTTGCAACAAGACAAAGGATTAATAAAAGGCAAATGAGACAATAATAGCTTTAATTTTTCTTGCCACTCTTGGATGTGTTGCTCTAACCACAAGAAATAAGTAAAAATGATTTTAAATATTTAAAATAAATAAATAAAAACATTATTAAATGAGTTAAATAGTTACAAAGTGGACAATTTTACACAACAAGTACCCAACTCACACTCTAACCTTTTACTTCATCCCCCTATTATTCAAGCATGTTAACAGAGGTGGATGCAAGATAGCTGCTTCAGATTTTTGTGCACAACTCAATGATAAGCAACCAATTGTTGGATTGTTCTAAAATATTGGCAATAGGGATTTACAATTCAAATTTTAGAATTTCAAGGAAAATATGTATTTATTTACTTAGTGAAAAATTAGACAATAATTTTAAAATTAGAATTAATTCAAATATTTTGTTACTGGGAGCCATTTGAACTTGTTGTTCATCCAGTACCAGGTTCACCTGGTTCCTGCTCCTCTACAGCCCAAAGCGTCCACATTTTGCCAAGGAACTTTGATCTGACCCACCTCACATTTGCTCCACCTCAGGAATCATTCAGCACGACGAAGGCAGCTAGATCTGAGGAGCCAAACTGAATTAATCTTAGAAATAGAAAATTTCCTGGTTATAGAAGGCAATGATATCGCCAAAGTGTAAGTATTTCTCAACTTATCAGCAGCTTGTGTATATTGGACCCAGCAACCGATTCTTTTCTAACCGGTTTTATACTGGAGGTGGAGGATAGGTATGAAGATACAGGGATTCATACACGTGTTTCTAAAAGTGTAATGAAATAGAAATGAATATCAAGCACCCAAAAGCAATCCACAAATACCACAAAATCGGAAAACCAAAACAAAACATTCAGTGATTGCATGTGACGACAGTCAATGCGTTCAGGTTTGAATCATTAATCGAGGTTATCATGATGATTACCCGATAGGAGTGAATATCAAGCTCTAGAGAGAAAGGACGACTTCCGCTTGAAATCTTAAGTCTAGACTACACAAAACTATTTGTATCTAAACAAGGTGGGCGCTACTCCAACCGAATCAAATAGAGAGGCAACAATCAATTCAAGATGCACTCGACTTACACTAAAGTCTACCTTCTGACCTCTCTGCGCATGTTAAGGGCACAGTCACATCCTCTAAATTGAAAATCAAATTTCTCAGAATTACAGAGCAGTTCACGAGCCAATCCCTCTATGAGGATGCAGAAAGGTTCTATGACATGTGATGCTCTTCAAATGAAAATATGCTACCTTGTACTCTTATGACGTTTGAAACCAAATATTCTTGGTGTGTAGCTTTGAGTTGGTTTTGAAGGCTTGATGCAGGGATATGTCACCAAGAAAAGATGGGGAAAAGTTGTACCGAAATAAGCACCATCGATATCTGTACTTGAAGTTAAAGGTAACCACCACGACTGAGCCACACTAAAACAAATATAAAAACGAATACAATACAAGCAATGAGAGTAACTTATCTAAACTGTGCCATCTATCGCGACAATAGACCTATCTTCTCTTCGAAAAACTGAAGGTTTCTAAGGACTGCAACTGGATGGAGGCCCAAAGAGTACTGCCGTTTCCTATAAAAACAAAAACAAAACCAAACAAGTATATAATTGAGGGGATACTGCCTTGAAATTTCGATCGAGGAGAATATAAATCTTCACACTTTGGACAATAGATCTTCACAGTGCTTGTTCGAGGAACATCCGACTGTCCCATGGGCAAGCATGCCTGTTCAGAGCAGTGGACGCGAGGGCATCGACCGAAGTCCACAGTTTTACATTTTTGAAGCTACGCAGCCCCACAGAAACAGGGATATCTTACATGAATTAAAAGAACCGGGAATACAATAAACACCCAAAGACTTGATCCCAATCACGGATGCAAAAAAAAGCCAGTCCGAGACAACTCCCATACCATTTGCATTCATTCCTTTGCTTGTTAGGATGTAGCGAACGTGTATTAACCCATACAACATTTCAGCAGCGGACTCTACCGGCTCGTTCTGCTCCTCAGTTAGCATGTCATCTGCGATTGTACAGACATCAATCAGAGAAATGTTCCTTAATGGTGTGAAAACGTAGGATTTTCTACTCACGGTAACAAGAAATCCTGCACCAAAAGGTCCTCTCGGTTACATAGGAAGATCTGCAGCATTGCTTTGACTACGGATATGACAGCAGATGTGCCTCGTAACATACTTTTCTTCAGAAAAAACAAAACAAAAGCTACAAAACCCTCCATACCGTCGGGAACTAGTAATAGCGCTACACACTGATACTAAAAACTTGTACGTTGAACTAGCGATAACAACAGTGCGCAACAAAACACTCACGTTCAAAAGGAATAAGAGTGAATATAAATGATACTGATCCTTCCAATGTAATAAGGAAATAACAAAAGCAACTGCTTTGGAATACTGTAACCTGTGCACCCTTGGTATATTTAGTTCTCTGTAGTTTACTTCGTGTACCTCACATGTCCAAAAAATAATCAGATCACCATACTCAACACTCAACTAAACCATAACAACAGAAGAGCGTATAACTTACCACTTGGGGATCCAACATCCAAGATCAGGTCGAGCGCATAATCATAATAGGGAACATGGCTGCTTAAACCACTTAGGTTAAAGTCATCCTGAATATATTCATCATCAACCTCACAGAAAAACTCATTGCCTCTCAAGCCGCAGAACCAGGAGATCCAAGAAGTGTCTTCCCCATCAGATCCACTCACATCTGAATCCTCGCTTTCCGATTCCGAGTCTTCCGCGGCCACTGTATGAACGATTCTACATAGTTAAAGAATATATGACCGCATTGTGAGAGACAAGCAAGAGATGAACAACTATAGGGGGTATTTTATACTGATATCAACCGCCTTAAGTCAACTACCGTCCAAAAAAGCTGTAACCGAGAAACTACTTCCAAGGAAATAACTTGTGACACTGCAGAAACAACCCGCAGAGACTTCCCAATTTCACCAGTCTGGTGAAACACAGAACCCAATACTCTATGAATCTACTAACCTGCAACCCAAAGGCAGTGGCTTCAAACCAATTCCCTATCAGTGGCCGAAAGAAACAATAATCACCATTTAGGAATGATTGATCCCACGCAATTGCTTACAGAAAAGAGGAGGTTAGTGCAACATTTGAACCACGAGATTTTCTGATTAAGTTTAAAGGAAACACGGATAACTACTTGACAATACTACTGACACCAGGCTCCTAAAAGCGTCTAGACTTGAGAGGTAACAATCCCCGCAATGCGTCGCCTCATTGCATGTCCCTCGATTCCGAAAACAATTCAAGATTTCTTTGCAGAATGACTCAAACATCAAACCTTATCAGATATTATTCATGTTGTTAAAAGTCAATGCAAGCCCAACGCTTTGACATACATTGATAATGAACCAAGACAATGATCCACTAGTAAGATTAACAGAGAAAGAAGAAACTAATAAATAGTGTATCCATTTAAATTGTCAAGATTCGCAGGAGGAGCTAGAGTCAAACTGAATTGTATCTATAACGATAAATTTCAACTCTGAAGCTCACCGTCATCAGGGTACTTCGCCTCTTCGAACGTGGGTCTAGAATCCTGTCCCGCGTACCGATGAGATTGACTTGTACTAGCAGCAGGAGCTAATCGCTCTTTCTCCTTCCCAATCCCTCCTTTCGAGGTCGAAGGGCAGGGATTCTCGACACCAGCATCTAATCGCTTCATGTTGTCTCGGTACAATTTGACGCCTCCCCTCACGTTTCCTCCTCGTTTCTCTGTTATTAGAGCTTACCTGCGCTCTTCGTACATGCTCTCTTATCGATGAAAGCGCCCATGTTGATTCTTAACCCCCCCCCCCAAAAAAAAAAAAAAAAAGAAAAAAAGAAAAAGAAAAAGAAAAAAGAATGGCTGCATCTCTAGTGCCTAAAAACATGTCTGATAGGCAATTATAGCTTCACTCACATAATTGTACAGATGCAGCAGAACTTCGCCATGAAAGAAAAGGCAGTCTGTGCTGATCAATGTGGTGAACCAAACGGCAGAATCATCTGCATTGAACTGCAGCAGATTGCCGAAAGCCATCTACAGGATAAACAGGTCAACTCAATTCGATACATGCAAATTCTTTCTCAGTCAGGGTCTCTAAAAAAACTAACCCCCACTCCCTCCCGAGTCTGCACACACCCACTCCCAATCCCACAGAACATTCTTCTCCACTTCACAGTCCGCGATCGTTCACAAAGACACCTCATAATTCCCACTCTCTATTTTAAGCCCACACCCAACGCCATCAAAACATTCGAAAATCATCCGACATCAAATACCGAACCGTCAGCAATCCTAACCCGAATTTGAAAAATAAAATAAAATAAAATAAAATCGTGGGCACTTCCTAGTCCACCTCGGTTGCCATAATCCGTGTGAATTCTGCGTCCTGCCAAGCTCTACATGACGAAAACACATCAAGGCTGGGGACCAAACGGGAACAAAATACTAAAATCCTAATGTAACCCCCACCTCAAGACCGAGATGAATGCAGGGCCCCCCGGGACCGCGCAGCTGCCGGCTCCCCTCCACACAAGCAATGCGGCGCTCTTCGAAACTACGTAAAAAACGAGACGTCTCGGAGACCATTGAATTGCTAAACCTGCAGAGTATAAATGCTTCAGAAGCTGCAACGAGTTCGGCCGTCTCCGAGGACGAACGCTCCAGCACGTCTTGATTCCGAGATTGACGACGAGACCCCCGGATGAACGAACGAAGTCCTTCGACGAAACCCAGTACTCGTCGTATTAGGGACGAAACCATGACGGCGTTCTTGTCTTGTTCCGATTCTTCCTACCGACAACCTTCCTTCCTATTCCACGCGTACCTGTGACCACTACCATGTATATATGTACGTATTTCGTATACATATGGGGGTTGTGTTTGTTTGGTTCTCCACCAATTAATTTAATTATTGTTCTAAAATTATTTGGCTAGTCGATCTCATTTGTCACCTTTGATAACAAAAACAAGTAACCAATGGGTGTGTACTTATTTATACAAGTATAAGAAGCTTAGTTGATTTTGAAAAAACATTATTGGTTAATTTTGGTAATATAAAATATTTGTAATTTTTACTCATTCAAGTTTATGTAATAAAAAATAGTTTAAATTTTTATTTACTTTTAAAACTTTGGTTTTTTATTTTAAATTCCAAATTAAAAATAGATGTTGATATTCATATTGTCAATAATATCTTATATTATGTTCTTATTTTTGAATGTCTATTTCATTGTCAAATTGCACTAAAAAAAATTAAAACTTGTCAATTAAAATGTTATGCATACAATAATAATTTAAAATTTTATCATTTTCTTCATATTTTGTTATCTCATTTTATAATAATTGTTGTTTTAACTTATCATTTAATATTTAGAAAAATATAAATGAATTTATATTTTTTATGTAATTAGTTTTTTTTTTTTTGTAAATTATTTACTTATTCATAACCATTATAATTATTTTCACAAATAAGATTTGATAAGATTCTAAATTGAAATGCAATAACAAGTTTTAAACATGACTACTAGTTAATTTTTTTGATGGTCTAAAAAACAAAATCTAAAATATAACTATATATATAAATATATTGTTGTTAATGCCACCATAGATTTTGTTATTGTCATTGCCAAAAATGTATACATCAAATTTTTAATTTTTTTTTATTGAAATTAAATTTATTTTCTATACATAAATTTTTCATAATAGAAATTGCTTAGATTTATTTAAGGCAATACTTAATTGAAACTTAGTTATTGCAAGCATTGTTACATTAAAAAATCTTGATGTTCATTGAACCAATAGAATTAAAATTTTATTAATGTGTATTTTTTTATTAGATATTTATTATTTTTCAATTGATGTATTTGTGTTTATTTTATAACTATTTAATGATAGTGAAAATAAAATGGATATTATACTATCCATAAACCATTTTCTATGACAATGTCACATTCACATCATTGCAAGCAATGTGAATTGAACTTTAATATGTTCACAAACTTTGTGAATAGTTATTTGTATTTGAGGTTGAAGGTCCAAAAACATGGTAAGACTTTTTAAGTAAGGATAGTAAATAAGAGCCAACAACAACGTCTTCAAATGTTGGTGTTGGGCCAGGCTAAAGTACACAAACAAATAAACAACAATAACTTACCACATTTCACGATTAAAACAGTCCAATAACTGTTTGTATTTATATAACTCAAATTTGTACTCAGTGAGAGATACAATATCTAATACTTTTAATGATTTGCAAAAATTATTGTTGGTAATGACAAAAAGTTCCGTGTCCAAATTTGCTGTCAACCTCGAAGGCTTCGAAGTTCAAATTGTTGATGCTTTTGTCCATGGAACAAAGTAAACTTGCATTAAAAGACTTCTCTCCAGCAACATTAAAAGCTCAAGAAAGACACCATCTATTGTGCATTGCTGAACATGATTGTGATATTTATATAAATAATTTTAATACACAAGAGACCCACTTTGGCCAATGTAAGTGACATGTCCCCTACAGAACCTCTTCCCAAATATTTATGTGGATGATTGGAAAAAAAATTACATCTCGTTAGGCCTCAGTTTCCATCTCCACAACCTTGGCAAGAACCTCAGGTCGTTCTGAAAGAAGGGTATTGATGATGGCAGTGTCGGCTAATAGCACGTCAGGTGCTTCCACAACCTCCCCCTCTGAGTAATCTGAGCTCTCGTGTGCATCATCTGATTGTTCTGGCAATTCAATGGATTCCGAGAGCTGATTAGGCCAGTTCAACAAAAAGTTGTTATTTACGAAGTACCTCAGACATTGCAAAATGTAGCTCTTGTCTCGGTTGATTTCACCCTGCAGAAGCTTCGATAGCAATGTGGGAGGACGTTTCTTCTCCACACCCACACCTTTCGGTCCGCCCCGGCCTGCCTCGTTGTCTCCGCCCTTTTTGCCACGAGGCCCCGTGTGGGCAAAGTGGCATTTGAATCCCTTTTTACAACGACCTCGCTGGTAGAAATAACACTGCGTTTTTCCAGGTTTGTCCGAGGGCTTACCCACTGCTTCATCTTTGTCCTCGTGTCTGGTATCTGACTCTTCGATGGACTGTGCTACCACTCTGTCCTGAGGATTCTCACTCTCAGATTTCGATGGCAAATCCGCACCAGAATTTGAATCACTGTTACTTAGACCAACATTCACTCGGGCGAACTTCGAAGGCTGCTCTACCGTCCCTGTGGTAACACTGGCATCCTCCTCAAGCTTTCGTTTCTTCGAATCTGCTCCATTCATAGAAGTGGTAACTCCTTCCCCTGCTAAGCTCTTCCGACCTCTTCCTCTGTCTTCTTTATAGGACTGGGATAAATAATGTGCTGGAACTTCAGCAACGGGAACCCCCAACTCAGCTTGTTTGGCCAGAATCTCTTTCATTCTCTAAGAAATGGATATCACAGAAACATTTTAGGGAGTATGGAAAGAACCTTCCGTCAATCAGAACTGCATCCCTAACACCAAGTGACGTGGATATAGAATGAACCAGGCGGACATACACGTTGCAAGTAAGCAGCTACTAATCACTCAAGTGACCATGACATGCGGAAAAGATACACGCAATCCAAATCGGACTCACTTGCAGAAGCCATCATGTGGTGAAAAGTAACCAACATACTACTGACAACATTAAAAATGACCCTCTAATCCAGTTTAATGCAATAGTACAAACTGCTGTCTCATTCATAAAGATTACCTGTTGGCGCTTCCTTGTATCCTCATCTATCAGTTCTCCTCTTGCCACCTTTCCTTCCAGTGCTTCTTTCTACACATGCCTGACATGTTATTAAAAAATTCCTAAAGACGCTAGAATACATCAGAATCGTATTCTGACCCTCTTCGTTCAACTTCTTACGCGCACGTTACATCGAAATACAAGAACCAGCACCTGGATTCAGGATCCCCCAACGCTACACATCAAAACATCTTCAGCAATTTTCCTATGAACAAATATTCGTCCATTCCAACTTTGGTTACCTTGCGCTGGATGTTTGACCGGGTAGGATAATTTCTCATTCGCTCTTCACGCCATGCTCGGATTTCATCATCATCTTCTTCCGATGCTCTGAGTAACCCAGTAAACCAACCCCAACTTTTTCTCATGAAACTACGACGACAAAAGAATGTAAAACTTCGAAAAAATCAAATCGAAGTTACGAAAGTAGCCGCTAGAAACAAATTCAACTGCTACCATATTAAAAAACAAAAAAAACAAAAAAAAAAAAAAAAACAAAACAAAAAACAAAAAAAAAAACTCACAGTGAAATACTACTTTCAGTTTTTTGGAACTCACTTCAGTGCCACCATGACATTTGGGTTATTAGACTTGCGATGAGCGGTAAGCTTGTGCTCCTTTACAACCTTCCCTGCACAATTCTTAGTCACCAGTCATACGTTAAACACAGAACCACCGCCAAAAACTTGACTTTGGCGTCAAATCCAGGGATGTCGCAGATCTAGCTAGATGTCATTAGTATAAAGTCCATTGTAAAACAGGCTTTGAAAATCTTACCAGAAGCCGAAAATGAACAGCCAGTTTCGTCGCACTGTACATGAGTGTGCATGTGGGCTGTGTATTGAGAAGGAACTGTAAAAGACTTCTCACATGCTTCACAATTCAGCTGCTTGGATTGCGACCTGCAGAGACCATATGGAACAATTACTTGATAACCCTCGACTTGGAGCCCCTTAGGATTCCAAAGGTACACATGCTTAATGCAAGGATTATAGTAGCAACTAGAATAGGAATGGGATCTGGAAAGTTTCACATCGTTAGAAAGACTAATTTCTGGTTTGTGAAAACAAAGGTACGAATTTTACTCACGATGCAGGAGACTGAGGAATAGGTGCTTGACGATTCATGTGTTGGCGCCCAGGGCCACCAGAGGGGTGATGCCTGCCTCCATTGCTGCTTTCAAAACCCCTGTCGGGCCTCCTGCTGTCACCGCTAGGATTCCCGAGAGATGGTGAACTAGAATGAACCTCTGCCCTCCCATGGAATCCCCCTGGCACAGCCGCACCGCTTCTACCATACCCTTGCTGAGGGCCCCGCTGCCAATTCGATGAATTCCTCAGCTCCTGCTGCTGCTGCTGCTGCTCACTGTATCCCCGGGACTGATCGGGACCATAACCCCACACAGGGACGTTGGGCGGAGGCTCCACCATTACGGGCCGGTAAGCCCACCCCTGAGCGCCATATCCTGGAACACCTGGGACCGCCATAGCCTGCGGGATGGGATTCCCCACGACTTGCGTCGGCATCCCAACTACGGCAGGATACGGTTGCATCGCCATTGCCGGCTGCTGGTGATGCACCAAGTACACGGGCTGCAATTGCGGTTGCGCGTCTTGCGAGTTCCTCCCATAGTGCGGAACAGGGGAATTCCCCGGAACGGCGTAGTACTGGACAGGATTCTGAGGCAAGGTGTAGGCTGGTTGCCCATACATGTTGTGACTCGCAGGCCTCATTTGCTTTCTGTAACAACACAGAATTACCCCCGCCTGAGCAAGACTAGGCGATGGTGGCGAATGCAGAGAGATGCAGTCTCGCGAGGCGAGACGATCGTTAAACCCTAAACCCTACTACGAACCCCTAATACCTCTCTGCTGTCCGTCGCAAGCTTCACATAGATGAATGAAATAAGTGAATTCATCCATTTTCGGATGATCCATGAATGAGGAAGACGTCATTTGAAAAAGTATTAACGCCAAGTTCCTTGTGATCGTGAAGTGCAAAAGGTATTTGTTACTTTTATGTGGCCTTGTCCTTTTTGAGCGCCCAGTTTATATACTTTAAATTTAAGCAAGCTTTTTCACGGTCATGGGTGGTGTTCTTCACAGTTTGATTCATTGTGTGATATTGTTGAAGTACCTCATTTCTTCTTTTTTTCCTTTGAAATTGTAGATTTCAGTTTATTGATTGATAATAAATAAAATAAAATAAAATAAGAAACGTATTTGAGTAATGCCACATTCTACATTCCATGACATGTACTCAAAACTCACATGTTTGAATAAGACCAAATGAAATTAGAGCAAGAAAAGAATACAAATGATTTCTTATTTGAAGATTTTTGTATTGATACTTGACGAATTATAATGAATTAAGATGTTTTCATAAAAAAATAATATAATTTATAGAAGGTGATAATTTACATAATTAAAAAATGATAACATAATTTGATTTTTCTTTTTGATTCTCTCTTTAGTTTTTTTATTTAAAATAAAAAATAAACCATACTAATAAATTTAAATCACCAAAAAATAAATATTCACTTTGTTACAAATTTTTCATTAACATAAAATAAAAGAATAAAGACAGTCACATTCTGAGAATATGTTTATATTTGTTAGCAGTTAATCAATCGCAGTAGTAAAGCAAGCTTTATGATTCTCATGGAAGAAACTTAATGATACAGTTAATTACAAGTGGTCAATGAAGAAATCCAAGGAGTCTTATGCCCCTTGTCAAAAATTATGCTACCTAACTTTATAAACCTTCAACATTAGATTTTGAAGTCAAACTTTAAAAGTTAATTTGTGATTGAGACAATATGTAAAAAATATACAAATTAATTAATAGATTCATCTAACTTTGAAATATTCTTTATAAAGTTATAATTTTTTCTTGTCTATGTATGTTACAATTAAAATAGATAACATTTTAAAATAGCTATTTTAATTGTACACTCATCAAACTTCACAAAACATCGAATCCATACCAAGTTTTAAAAAGTGAACCTGTTTTATTATAAATTTGCAAAAAAAAGAGAATCAAAACCAAATATCAAAAGAAGAAGATAAAGATCATACCTTCAGAAAGAAAAAATAAAAAAGAAAACCCACATCCAGATAAAATCATACTCTCAACTCAATGCATTCAATCAATGATTAAATACTAATTCATGACCACACTAAATACATAAGCACCCACATACACATATAATGAGTTACGAATCCCTATTTGGTTTTAGAAATTCATCAAAGTTGTTATTGACACCATAATTCTAAGTAGACTAGTTATTCACAAGCAAAATCCCCCCCCCAATTTACACTTCAAGCAGAAAGGGGGCCCATACCCGTGTAGGCAGAGAGTATTCGCCCCACGGAGCAGAGCTCCTTAAACCCTAAACCCCCCGGCTTCCAGTGGAATAGTGCCCTGTCTCCGTGTGCCCCTCCGCCGCGCCCTCCCCCATTCCCTCGAGTTGCCGTCCAGCGCCGTCTCGGACTTTTGCGCTGCATTTCCATTCCTTCGTGTTGCTGCACTAGTTTAGTGTAAATTTGCATTGCTTTGCAGTGCATTGTATTGTGTGTGGTGTGATTGTGAAGTAGTTTTGACGATGAGGCCCCCGTTGACGAGAGGGGGTGGGGGATTCCGAGGAGGGAGAGGAGGAAGAGGAGGAGGGAGAGGCGATGGAGGAGGTCGCGGAGGCGGCCGTGGCTTTGGAGGAGGCCGCGGGGGCCGAGGTGGTGACAGAGGCGGGCGAGGAATGCGAGGAGGTGGCCGCGGAGGAGGACGAGGCGGTGGGGGAGGTCGCGGCGGTGGCCTGAACGGAGGAGCCAAAGTGATCATCGAGCCTCACAGACATGAAGGCGTGTTCGTTGCCAAGGCTAAGGAAGACGCGCTTGTGACGAAGAATCTCGTCCCTGGAGAGAGTGTGTATGGCGAGAAGCGGATTTCGGTTGATAACGAAGACGGTACCAAGACGGAGTACCGAGTATGGAATCCTTTTAGGTCCAAGCTCGCGGCTGCTATCTTGGGCGGTGTTGACAACATCTGGATTAAACCCGGTGCTCACGTTCTCTACCTAGGTGCTGCGTCAGGAACAACCGTTTCTCACGTTTCCGACGTAGTGGGACCGTCGGGTATTGTGTATGCTGTCGAATTCTCTCACCGGAGTGGGCGAGACCTCGTGAATATGGCGAAGAAGCGAACCAATGTCATTCCCATCATTGAAGACGCGAGACATCCGATGAAGTACCGCATGTTGGTCGGTATGGTGGATGTTATCTTTGCCGATGTTGCGCAGCCCGATCAAGCCCGAATCGTTGCAATTAATGCTCATAATTTTTTGAAGAATGGTGGCCACTTTGTGATTTCGATTAAGGCTAATTGTATCGACTCGACCGTGCCTGCTGAGGCCGTCTTTGCCGCCGAAGTGAAGAAGTTGCAGAAGGAGCAGTTCAAGCCCGCCGAGCAAGTCACACTTGAACCTTTTGAGAGGGACCATGCTTGTGTGGTTGGTACTTATCGTGCACCAAAGAAAGCCAAGGCAGCTGCCGGTTCATAGATGTTGCTCTTAGTTAGGTTTCCATTCTATTCAGGGTTCATGTTTTTGAAATAGAACCGATTTTAAACCAAAGAGCGCATGTCCAGCTGCTGCGAAAGTCGACTTCGTTTGTAACTGACGGCGTCTTGTTTCTTAGAAGTTAGCAACCTTCGGTAGGCTCAATGTCATTTTTGAATCGTATATTAGTTTTACGTCCTCAATTAGCATCAGTAACATTGTGTGCTTAATCTGATTATAGGGTCCTTCGTTGGTAGCCAGCTGTACTGTCCACAAATTTCCCTGCGGGAACAGTTGCCCGTGCTGAAACTTCCGAAAGATGTGTCACCCTTCGTCGTGAAATAACATGCATTGTCTCTCCTCCACGTTCGTGTATGCATTCGGCAGTACTAGTATTCAATACACTGAGGAGAATTGGCTTGTTAGGCACTACTACAGTTGCTCGAATTCCATCTTTAAGTTGAAATACAGGTTGAGTGAACTAGTTGAACACCGAGGTTTTCTTTCTTGTCACGGAGTTTGCGCGTGGGTGATGGAAGAGCTTCAGGATTTAGAGTTTTTACAATCACGATATAGTGACGTGCATTCGGCTATTGCAACGCAATGTTCACATTGTGTAACTGTTTTCCCTCCGAGCAGGAATTGTTGCTATGTTTCCAACTCATGGCAAAGCATTTTGTACAGAATATACAGCAACAGCCTTAACAGTAACAGTGCGATACACAGCCGTATGCTCACACACAAATCATAATTTAGATTTCGGCTTCGTTTCACATAATGTGTGTTCAAGACCAAGTATCAGCTTCAATTAAGCCACATGCACGAGAAAATAAACTATGATCGACATACGAGGTAAAGGCGCAGAGGAAGTTATGATTGCAGTATCTGGATCATTGTGTACAGTGAGAAGTTCACACGGTGACTTCCGCTGTTCGTAACGAAACAGCCTAGGGGTACACAATTGCAAAGCACTTCTGAGGTAGATGTTGAATATAATTGACAGGCACTAGGGTAGACATCTTGGATTTTGTCCTTCACTTCACATACTCCTAACTCAAGTCTCCTCCGGCCAAAAATAAATTGTGGTTCTCTGAGAATTTAGTGAATTAGGTCTATTTTACTTTCAAAGTGACTTCAACACGTCCTTCGCAGCAGCAATGGTGAACTCAATGTCCTCATCAGAGTGAGCGAGGCTAGTAAAGCCCGCCTCGAATTGGGAAGGAGCGAGATACACCCCTCTTTCAAGCATGCCCCTGCTCAATCGAAGAAAAAGTAAACACATTTGTGAGCTCTACAGAAGTAGAACCTTACACGTTAAGCAAGGTTCCTCCCTGTGAAAAAAATGCACATAATGTTGCGAAGAGGTAACTGGAAAATTTGGCAAGAACTAGTATCGATCAACTACCTGAAGAAGGCAGCGAACTTAGCAGTGTCACTCTTCTTTGCGTCTTCGAAGTTGTGCACAGGACCAGCACAGAAGAAGAATCCAAACATTCCACTGATGTGTCCACCGCAAATCTCGTGCCCGGCATCTCGCCCTGCTTGAAGGATTCCTTGGACGAGCTTTCCGGTAACCCTGTCCAAATGTTCGTATGCACCTGGCTGTTGCAGCCTACGGAGTGTGTGAATACCAGCCGTCATTGCGAGTGGGTTTCCACTTAGAGTACCGGCCTGGTACATTGGCCCAGCTGGGGCAACCATCTGCATGATTTCTCTTTTTCCTCCGTAGGCACCTACAGGTAACCCTCCTCCGATGATCTTTCCCAAAGTGGTGATATCAGGTGTGATTCCGAAATGCTGTTGGGCACCTCCATATGAGATGCGGAATCCAGTCATAACCTCGTCGAAGACAAGACAGGCTCCATCCTCTTTTGTAAGGTCCCGGAGACCTTGCAAGAACTCCTGGCGCGGGACAATAAATCCGGCATTTCCCACGACGGGCTCCAACACAACGGCAGCAATCTGTCCTTTATATTTCGCGAAGATCTCTTTTACCGCCTCCAGGTCGTTGTACGCTGCTGTCAAAGTCGATGCGGTAGAAGAGCTGGGGACACCAGGAGAGTCTGGGAGGCCCAGAGTTGCAACGCCACTTCCGGCCTTAACCAGGAAAGAATCCGCGTGTCCGTGGTAACATCCCTCGAACTTGAGAATCTTCTCACGACCGGTGTATGCACGGGCCAGACGGAGCATGCCCATGCAGGCCTCAGTTCCGGAGTTCACGAACCGCACCATCTCAATGCTGGGAACTGCATCAATCACCATTTGTGCCAACACATTCTCCAAGACACAAGGTGCTCCGAAGCTGGTACCCTTCTGCAATGTTCTAATGAGCTCCTCATTCACCTGGTTCATTCAATGCGAGGTCAGCCGGCATTCGACGATGTGGTCAACAGGCAAAGATGACTAAGAATGCATCTTAGCAAAGATGTTTGTGAAAGGACGGTTGGCTCCGTACTTGCTCGTCACAAGCACCGACGATGGCAGGTCCCCATGAGCCAACGTAGTCCACGTACTGGTTGCCGTCGATGTCCCAGGCCTTGGACCCTTTCACTCGGTCGAAGACAATTGGTTGTCCTCCAACGGACTTGAATGCTCTAACAGGAGAATTGACACCTCCAGGCATCAGCTCCTGCAAATAAAGTAGCAATTGCAAGGCATATCAGCGATTGTAGCAAAACATGTACGAAGTATGCAACACACGAGAGTCCTCAAAACTGTCGCTTTGAATCCTAGCTTTGACGACATGGAGACAAAGCAAGGCTTCGACCACTACTAAGGTCTTTCTAGTAGGGTCACCACAGTCACAGCATTGAAATTACACAGAGTCTGAAACAAACGTCATAATATTCATTTCAAGGTGGACGTAGCAAGACGATTCCCTCAACAGCGTCCGTGGAAACGCTAACAAGGAATTCGGAGCGCTTACCTTGGCAGCAGCGAAGGTCTCTTCGGACTTCTTCGTCGTGAATTGTTTCTTCTCCACAGAAATCGTCATCTGAACCACACGACCCTTCTTCGAAACACCGATCTGGGTATCAGCTCTGGCTGCCGCTGGGGCTGCCTTAAATGGATCGGCAGGCCTCAACCCTGACCACTCCCGGGCACCCAGAGCAGTGCCCACCGAAACAGCCTGTGCAGCCATAGCCAAAGGTCCTGCTCTTTGCTGCTGGCTAACAGAAACGCCCCACCACACCCACACAAAACACACACACAGAGAAAGCTTCAATCAAATCACCATCAAGTTTTCCGACCAGTGCACCAACGCTGTCAAATAGCTAAAGCACTCAATATTCCTCACAAAAAAGCCAGCCGACGTAAAACCCATCGCAACAAATTCCCCCGCTCATCCAATCTAAAAACTCAAACTAAACCATAAACCCTTCTACAAGGTCTACATTGCAAACTCCCTCTTCAATTCCCAAAAATGCTATCAACCTCAGGGACACATTCTCCGGAAAGCCTGCTATAAGACCCACCTGAGTCAACAAAACTGGTTGCAGTGCCGAGATGAGAGAGGCGAGCCAGCAGCACCGGACAGGAGCAGCTGCAATCAAAACACAGTATTCGTTTGCTTGGGGTTGAGATAATGGAGGCGATGGCGGAACACGATAAATGAAGGAAGGATGGACGAGCCCGAAGAAACCAACGAGGTCCACGCAGGCCTTGCTTATTATTATCGTATGATATTGGGCCGTCGGATTTTGATCTGGTATATTGGACGGCTACTAGGCTGGGTGTGTCTTATCTGAAGAAATCTAGAGTCGATCCAGTGGTCAGTTGGGCAGTGAACTGAGAGACGAGGGATCGACTCCTCTTCGATGCACCTCGGATTGCGTCGAGTGTTGCAGTCCTTGTTCGGGTCGTAGAGTATGAATAGAATAAAATTATAAATAATTAAATTTTAGTAAGCAAATAAATAAATAATTGGGATTTCATTAGAAATTGTGATTGGGTGCCAGATGTGTTTCACATAAATATATATATATATATATATATATAAAAAATAAAGCAACCCAAATTGATACTAAAGCAACTCATTCTATCTTAAGCATCATTGCACCCTTAGAGCCCCCATCCATGTTCCCAGCTATTCCCCATTCCCAACCGTTGCTAGAGACAAGGATAGGGGGTTGGGAACATTATGAATGAAGGTGATGGTTGGGAATAGGGGAATGGTTGAGAATAATGCATGTGAGTTGATTTAGTAAAAATTTTGGTCGCTTTATCATTTTCCAATATATATATATATATATAAATATATAAATATATATGTTTTATAAAAAAATTAAAACAAAGCATTGTTAACAATTGCAATATATATATATATATATATATATATATATTCTGCAACTCTATTGAATTGACTACTTAGGTTTTCATATCAATTAAAACATTCATTATTTTGTAATTTTTAATATATTATCCATCAATCTAAACACAACATTTTTATCTATCAAAACATTACCATCTTCTAGAATTTTTATTTATTTTTATTTATTTATTAATAATAAATATCATCATTTTCTTATATATATATATATATATATATTTCCATTATCTTTAACCTCTTAATCTATAAAAAATTATAACAGTGAAAGACTAAAAACAATAGAATACATTTACAAATTTAACTTTCATACATATCACATGTATTCAAAACCAAAAGCTTTGGTAAGTCTAAAAGAATAATATTATATTTGGATTAATATTTTTAATTGGATCTTTACTTGAATTCTTAGGAAGAGTTTTTTTATAACAATTTTTGAAACTAAGAAACTCAAGTTTTCAGACCATTTTGTTTTGTATTGATAAGGAATAAGTTATAATTACATTTATAGCCTCAACATCTTTATAAAAAATATATTTTTATTAAAATTACTCAAATCAAAGTAGTTTGATTAATAAATATCTATAGCTTATAAGTTTATTTACTTAGTTTTTTTTTTATGGTCATAGTAATAATTTTATCATTTTTTAAAAATCAAAGTATAAAATATATTAAAAACATTTTTATTTTATTTAAGTATTTTAAAAGAGAATTGCTAGATGGACATCCCTCATTTATTCTATCTACACCCCCATGTCATGCATCCACACAATAAAAATCTTATTTATACTAAAAGATTTAGGATAAATTTACAATAAAATATTTCTTAAATGAAACTAATATTTTTTTAAAGGAAATGAGATAATTGCTTGAGACATATAATGATTTTTTTAAAAATATTATTAACAAAAAAAAAGAAAAAAAAAAGACAAGAAGTGCATTAGCCATCGTATATAATACTTTTATTGTAATTTATCAAAGAAGTTTCAGTAATAATAAGAATTTTATTGTGTGTATTCAAGAGTATGGGGCACAAGCATATATATATATATATATATATATATATATAATTAAAAAAATAAAAACTATAAAAATTATAAGAATTGTTGAAACATGTATGACAATACACTGCAGTTTGATGTGTAAGATTTGAGAACAAGTAAATTCCTAAAAGTAAACAATTAAGATGAAGTACATAGAAGTTTTAAAATTAGTTTTCAAATAATGTATAAATAAAAAAGTACATATTTCTATGTATTTAAGCTACATACTTAAAATTTACATGACAAAATCAGAAAACTACAAATAAAAACAAAAAAAGTAAAATATGCTAGATAATGTAGAATTTATCAGACAACTTTAAAAGCATAATAATTGAAGGAATGCTGTAAAGGTCCCAACACAAGTTCAAATCCATAAAAACATTATATATTACAATTGTGTAAACTCAAGGAATTTGAGGATTCACTAGCCTTATACAAAAGTAAAAGTCATTCCTAAAATATAATATAATACAAGTGCACACAATTGTATGTGATATGGATAAATTTGCACTAACAAACTCTTGTGAAATTACGAGAATACAAGATAAGTTAAAATTAAAATAACAACACTCAAACTCCACTCCTATATTAGTGGATCTCATTGTTAATCTATTTAATAAATTAAAAATATATAGTACTATAAAATATACATAATAATCTTTTTAGAGTGTCTTTAAAGTTTGTATAAGAATTTAATGTCAAATAAAGATGCAAATATCATAATAGAATATGTGTCTAAAATTTTGAATATATAATACATAATGTAAGATAATAAGGTGTTAGTAGAATATCTAGTAGTACAAAAATGTCTGTTAATTGTAAAAAATAATATTTGGACAATATTTTATCATATGATGAAAAAAAATTAAAAATAACATTGATTACCAAATTAGCTAAAGGATATGCATAGTTACTCTTTTGGTGAAATTTTTTCACCCCTGATAATTCAAATTCAATTTGATAGATTCAGTACACAGGTGCAAAATTAATGTCTGTATTACTTATAACATTTATTGAATTATAAATTACAAACTAATTCACAAGTTGGTTGTAAATCGGTTTTCTTTCTACTTCAGCTGATCAAACGAGTAATTAAATAACGAAGAAACTGAAAAAATACTAGGAGTTTTAATTTTAATTTTAATTTTTTTTTGTACAAATAAAAAATAATTCATTGGATTATTTCTTTTTGAAATATTTTAAGCTATATAATAGAAATATAGTAGACATGACTAATTCATTTCAAATAGCTAAGAAGAAATATCTATAAACAATACCTAAGATGTTAAAAAAATACAATCAAATAAAAATTAAAAATCAAACTAAAGAAGACTCTCAAGATCATTCTAAAGATAATATATGAAAGATGTTTAAATTGAAGTTCCAAAAATCATTTGTAAAAGTGCAAAATTGACGAAATATTTAAAAAAACAGTCTTAACACATGAAACTTGACTCAACCTGTACATCCATGAACTTCAATACCGCAAAGATTGAATTGCTGCATCTTCTCCACAAGAATGAACGAACTTGAGAAAACCTTCCATTGAAGTTTTAACATTCAACTGGCGATTCAGAACAGTGCTATGCTTGCTAGTATTCACCACATCTCTAACACACACACACATATATATGTGTGCATATATAGATATATACACTCAGATGTATTTCATACACCTAATCTCTCATTGTTGCAGAGTTTCAAGAGTGAAGTGCTAGTATTTTTAGTAGTTTTTTTGTTGTTTGTTTATTTACCGACAGGTATGCACGTCGGCAATGCAGAAGACATAGAAGACATACTTCGGTGTCACGGCAGCAAAATGACTTCGAAGACAACACGTGATACCAACACAAAAACGTTTTGTTTCCCCGGCTGATCCTTTTCCCCCTTCTCTTACGATCTGCGTGACCACGATGCACAGCTTCCTCAAACAGATGGCATATTCTACTGATTCCATATGACATATTTGTGTTCTAGACCACCCATTTTTTACAATGTATAATTCGGTGGAAAAACGGTCCCGAGCTTTGGTGTCTTTCTTCGTGCACTTGTGGGTCTCAATGAGCTCCGTTAGCTTCTGATTGAGGAGGATGCCCATTCTGTCCCATTTGCACATACACAGAGTCTGTGTTTGGTTTCATATGCTTCGCTTTCTCGACGTCGTCGCGGTCACGGACCACCGGGGTGGCGTTTCTGTAGAAGGCGTAGAGTGACAATTGTGCAACTCCAGACAGAGCGCCGAGTCCATTGGGTATCTGCCATCAGTAAACCGCAAGCAGTGTTGTTATGAGCTTCATCGACTGGTCTTTACAACGATATCTGATTCTGATATGGTGTTCTCAGATTACTAATAATACGCATCGAGATTGAGACGTAATAGAAGGTGTCGGTAGCAGGTTTGGTACTCACAGCAATGAAGATGTCCAGGCCACCGATGAATGCATAGCCGAACCAAACAAGTCCATTGATGAAGTTGAACAGGGAGAGTAAGAAAGGCATGTACTCGACACTTCGAGTTCGAATAACCATCCTCTGCAACACAGCAGAAAAAAACAGTAGGGTGTTTTAAGGAGGAGTAATCTGATAGAATTCAGATGTGAAGATAAGGTGCTGATTCGATGAGAATGTTGGCGAGTGAATCGTACCATGACTGTGAGGGGAGAAACATACATTCCCACGGCGAACACGGCACAGAGAGTCCCAATAACAAGCTTGCGCTTCTTCTTGTCATGGATGAGTTCTAACACGATCACCGTCACCAAAGTGAACAAGATCAGAACAGCTAGCAAAACCTTCATCACCTTCATCTGTGGTCAAAGGGAAAGAAAAAACATATGAGACAAAGTGAATCAAAATCCAACACCCAGTGTTGAACATGTCTTCCTGGACCCACATCGACAAAACTCATTTCAATGAGATGAATCTGGTTTTCAAACATACCCTGATGCTCTTGTGTGCATTCTTCAAATATAACGCAAGATAAATCAACTCAATAATACATCCAGCTGCGTTGATGGTGACCACCAATACTTGATATTCCACCACTGGAAGCCCATACACAACCCATAGCAGGCAATTGAGGAGGGTGCACACGTAGGGGATACCAGAATAATCTCCCACGGACTTCTTCTTGACTATGTTGATGAAGGTGGGACTGCAAGAGAGTGCGTTACAATACACGTTACAATCTTAGCTTCCTTGGGAGGATGGCGCTGCAGCTCGACTTCCACACATATGCTTCTACTTATAGCTTATTTTGCAAATACAGTTCTTTCGGCTCAAAGGATAAAAAGAACAACTTTCCACACAACATGTCTACGATTGTGTTGGAATATTATCAAGCCCTACCGCAATTGTCCTCTCTTTCTCCCTCTCTTTCTCTATGTGTGTGTAACACTTGTATCATTCGTCGTCTCTCCAACGTAAATTGGTAGCATATTCATCTCGGACAAGGCTGTAAGGTAAAAAGCATGGTACCAAGGCACACTATCTGTTGCTAACAATCATCGACAATAACTTACATGGGCGAGGCGAACAAGCAGATCGCAGTGATGTTTCCTGAGCACAAGCCGCAGACAACAACATTAGTGGGCAAGACCAATGCTGATCTACGACTGGGAAATGAACAGTTCAGAGCACACAAGCTCCACAGAATCACAAACTGACGTCAAACGTTTAACTCCGAAACATGAGATTTCGATGTGCTCGATGTGTAAGGTCATATGCGTGCATCATCTGAAATGACTAATTCGACAATTCTCTCTTACGTTTTCGTGCAAATCGATTCTATAGCAAATAGACTCTCTAACGTTACATGGGTCTTGTTTAAGAACATCAAGGTCTGACTTCCTGTAATAAAGTATGTCTCCTTCTCATAAAATTCTTGATACAAGAATGAGAAAGTAGTGTTGGAGCCTTGTGCTTTGCTCAAGTTTCGATAGCAAGTACATAGAATTCAGACGTAGAAATGCTGACACCAATTGAATTGTACACCATGATTGAACTTGTCCTGTGAGATAAGCACTGGTATCTCCATGCAGGGGTTTTCCGTTTCAATAGTTTCTTGCGTGCCAGACTTGATATGATCGACAATACGCTCTATAAGCAATGTCATGCCGCTAATTCGATGAAATTCACAGAAAAAACAGCCCTGCACAGCGCTATCGTAACCGCAACACAGGCTGATTTCTATGGGGCTGGACAAGCGCACAAGGGATATCAAGCCTCACCCAAGACTCCGAGAATGACTTTGAAGTCGACGTGACCCATGGTTCGCGGTGCCAATTACGCCTCCTACAAACACAGCCCAATTCGCAAGTCCAATCTCAGAGAGTCCCGGAAATCGCAACTACGCTATTTACAAAGTTCTCCAATCTTGGGGGGGCAGATTTCTCATTCCTCAATACAACCTGGCAATTGAATGAAGCTATTGGCCAGATTGCCTCCACCTAGAACCATACTCCGTCATGAGCCGCTTACGCTCGACCGTTTCCTACCCTTCAAAACCCCCAGAAACGATTCACCTCCCCCACAGAATCTGAAAAACTATCACCAACTCACGACGCTGCCACAGACATGCAAACAATTGAAGCTGGATCAGTGGCCTGCTCCACGAATCCTCGTCAATATAAACAATGCGTTCTCAGCGGCAGCAGCAGTAGCATAAATAAAATAAAATAAAAATATCACTTCGAGATCAGTCTCTGGGTGGCAAGCCAGTGAAACATCTCCCGAGCTAACCGAGCTCCTCGTGGCAACAGCAGCAGGACAGCAGACAACAAAGACAAACACCTCCAGAACTGCACTTGCAACATGAAGTAAAAAGAAAACTATAAATAAACACACACACTCAAAAAGAAATTTAAAACTCACACTCCTCAAGAACAAAACAAAAAAGTAAAGAAAAAGAAATCCAAAAATACAGAAAGAAAAAAGCTTAGGAAGGCTCAAAAGGATGATACCCGAGCTGCAACCAGCAACACACGTCTACGACGGTGGTACAAAGGCATGCGGCGAGGTACGAGAAGTGATGAGTCATGTGAAAAATGCAGGGCGCGGTCGGGAGCAGGAGCTGTAGCAGTAGCCAGAAGTATCATCGTCTTCAGATACCAACAAACCCACAAACAAACAAGGCCAAACCTGGCAATCAACGCCATGGCTGCAATTGTACCACCACCAGTGTGTCTAGCACCGCCGCGGTGGCAGCCTCATGAGTTCTCCACTTCCGCGCTTCCCCTCCCCACCACCCACAGCTCCTGATTATTGCGTTGTCTGGGCCTGCAGCGCATGAATCGCACGCTCCCCTCACCACTGCCCCGCGTCGCAGTGATTCCTCCGTTCCTCTTCCTCACTCATTCAGCGGAAGATTCTGATCACTCCGCTGCTGTTGATGTTGTTGTTGTTGTTGTGTGAGAGATGCAGGTGAGTTAATGTGCGGGTCCGAGCGGCGGTGGAGTGGCGGAGGAGGCTGGAATACTGTGGTGGTGGTGGCGTGGAATATTATGCAACATGTGCTTCCATGTAGTATAGAAAAGTAGTACCTGAGCTTTGGAAGAACCACATTCTCCAACTCCTCTTTCTCCTCCTCCTTCTGCTGCTGTTGTTGTGTACAGAGAGAGACCTCGGATTGTAGAATGCAAGCTTGTTCACATGGATGCACTGCATTTTATACTATCACAAGCATTCTTTACAGACAAGGAATGTTGTGTGGAGTAACTTCCGAAAGGAGGAGACCATGAAATCATGCAACACCAGTTTTGCAGATTAAAAAAAAAGCCCAATTGAGTTAATAAACCTTCTTTGTTGGCTTACATACATATAAACAAATGTGCGTGTATATATATATATACAAATACAAATATATATATTTCTAATGAGATTGGGTTTACAGTGGTATAAAGTTTTGTGTTTACGTAAAGAGGGATTTGGGAGAGTAGTGTGTAATCAATGCTTTGTAGTTTTTAAGATTTTTGTTTTGATTAGCGTCGTGAAAATTCATATATTCATTGTGTGTATATTGATGCATGTTTTTGTGTCTTAAAATGATTATTGATTCTTGTTCGTCTAGTGGTTTATGAGCATTACAGTATCTTGTCTTGCTTGGTTACATAATTTTTGCAGCTACCTTTTTTTTTTTTTTTTTTTTTTTTTTTTTTCTTTCTTTCTTTCTTTCTATACAACTTCTGACTTATGTGTTAGAGTCTTAAGTTTTATAAACGTTCAAAAAACGAGTTAGGTACCCATTATTTTTGACTTTCAGCATATTTATTCTTCTTTAAAGTTTTAATAAGTTATAGACTCCTTTTAGTATTTTAATTAACACACTCAGCTGCGATTTTATTTAAATAACTCTCTATATTTGTAAAACGTTTTATAAAAACATCATTACTCTGGATCAGTGAGTTAAATGATTTCTTTTTATCTTTATTTAATATCAAATTAATGTGTAATTTTAATATAACCAGTGTTGTGTGAACAAGGTCAAGGGGTGTATGGATGAGTTTGAACATTATATTGGAGAGGTATTGACAAGTTTGAACAAGTGGCGTTGTGTGTGCTCAATCAATCTCTTGCACAAGATGAAGTAAGTATATGGAGGTGCACTAACATGTTCAACATCATCTTCTACTCTATGATTAACTTTGAAAAGAAATAAAAACACCTTGAGAAGTTTTTGAAGAATTTTAAAATACATTGAGTATCTAAAAATACATATCTAGTTTTTCTTTCAAAATATACTTGTAATGTGTATATATATATATATATATATATATACATACACTTCAAATGAAGTTTTTGAAAAAAGAGGTTTAAGACTCAAAATAACTCACCCATCAAATTTAGAAGAAAACCTTGCAATATAAGAAATTGCCGTTGATTAAAAGTTCTCACAAGCTAAAGAAAATACACTAATGGCAAACTGTTTTTATAGAAAAAGTGTGTACGATTCAAAATCAGTAAATTAAATGCAGTAAAATAATCCTTCAAGAAGTATACGAATCCCTATTAAAAAAGATTTGAAAATATCAAGGTTAGACTTTTTTGCTAATATTTGACAATAAATCTAAAAATATTTTTGGTCGTATACAGGTATTACAAGAAATCTTGAACCAACTCACAAATAGAAAAAAAAGACGTGAAATTTTACCTTTGCAAAAAGCAATTTTACTGTGAAAAGATTTCAAAGAAATTAAAGAGTTGTCATGGTTGGTGAAAATGAAATACATCAGTGGCACACAAACATTTTCAAGCACCACCCACTGTACATACAGAAGAGGTCTAAAGTTTACATTTTTTTCCAAAAATTGTAGAAAGAATGTTACATCCAGGTCCTAGCATGCTTATTGAATTATCAAAGAGCATTTAAATTTGGGGCAATCCATTCAACAACCATAGAAGCTTGTACACTATTGTAGGAAGATGGCACCCAAATGGTATTGTAGAGAGGGGAAGAGAAAGAGTAGCCCAGTGCTCCCTACAAAGGAGTGGGAGTGTGTGTGGGGTCAGTCTTTTGTGGGTAAGTGGGTGTAGGGATGTGTGTGTGTGTGTGAATGTCTGTCAGCCAGTCCTTCATTCATTTATTCATTCAGTAAGTGAGTGAGTGAGTGAGTGAAGCAGGAGAGTTCTTGTTTAGCTCTCACATGCATCACCTCATAGCCACCATATCCTACACTGAATTGGGTTGTGAGGGTACTACCAGGGGTGGAGGATCAGGGAGGGTCTAGTTTCAGAGCCTAGTGCCCAGCTGAGGAGGCACAAGAAGAAGAAGAGGAAGAAGTGAAGTGAAGTGAGGGAGGAGGAGAATGTTGCTGCTTCAGCCATGCTAATGATGCTTGCTTTGGTTGGAGCACTGAGTCCTTCTGTCCGTGGGGGCGGCAGATGCTGTGGCAGTGGTGCTGCTGTTAACGTAGGTTGAGGTGCTGGTCATGTGAAGCTCCCTCCTCGAATTTAGGTTTTGAATTCTTTTTGGCAGAAAACAGGGAAGAGGAAAAAAACGGCTTTTGGGCACCACCACTGTTGTCGTCACAGAGTAAGCGTGTGCATTGTTTCCAAACTTTGCAGGCAACCCATATCTCACTCTCTCTCTCTCTTGCTCTCTCGCATGAATGTTCGCTGAAGGGCAGCTTGCAGACAATCCAGGGTTTTGGGATTGGCTTCTCGCCACAAAATGGGCATAATATATGTGGTATGATCCCAAGTTGTGAAGTGGGTTTTGGAATGGTTGTAACCGAAGCGCGGCATTCGCTGCTTCTGTCGTGGGTGCAGATGCTGGCAACCGTTGCACCTAACCAACCAAATGAATAAATAAACAAATAATTGCCATTTGTTTTGAGAAAAAGGTATCTGGCAGTACTTGAGGAAAGTTTTATCGAAAAGAAAGATATCTAATGCATTATGTTCCGGCATTCCACATTACTTATTTAGGCATGTTTCATGTATGTGTGTGTGATTGAATTTATCATAGAGTCCAGCTTCTGAATTTCCAACCTATAAAACCCCAGAGAGATGGAAAAGCTTGAAAATAACGGAAACTTGAGGATAGAAGAGGAAGAGTTTACCATTATGCGTTGCACTCTACCATGAGCCACTGCACTTTATTGTGGGGAGAGGAAGGTTACTGTGTAGCAGAGTGGAATATACGCGATTTGTGAGGAACTACCCCACAAGTATATACACGCCCTTCCTCTTCTGTCCCCCCTCCTGGCCTCAGGCGTTGAGGAAGTAAGTAACCGGACTCTTTCGTTGATTGGACTCTGATACAGACTATCAGCGTTTCCCGAGGATGCGTGGCCTGATAGTGTGAAGGAAAGGTTCATGAATGTCCCACTGTGTTGTTGTCATACAGGCTCGTATGAAAAGTGTGTGACTGCTGTCATCGAGAGTTCCGGATTTCTGGGATTCTTCTCATCACGAAGACCAGCCCTCAAAAACTGTACCTCTGCACAGACGTTGGTGAAGCTTGGAGGAAGCTTCTGGGTTTCATAAAATTATTGGTGGATTGCAGGGATCATTCTCTCACTCTCCTTTGCCTTGATCGCCGGAAATCGTGCATGATTAATGTGCATGGGATCTTGTTTGATGCATGAAGCCATTTCAACACTGAATTGGTTTAGACTATACAAAAAAAAACGCGCCAAGTCTAACAGGAATGTACGTATGTATCGAACAAACGATGGGTAGTAAAAAAGAAAGGATGAAAGAAGGAAAACAAGGACGGGAGCCTGGAACACACGACATGATGCGAAGTATCAGATTCTTTAACGTAGTTGCTTCTTGCATAAATCTTGTGTACGAGTGTCTCAGCTGGTGATGAATGTGCTTGTGTCAACATATTACATGCACCCAGTGAACCTGTTACCAGAGGTGTACCACACATTTTGCAGAAGGCTCTCTACTGCTGCACCTCAAATTGCTTATGGTTGGAAGGACACGTGAGCAGGACAAGCTTGACCCCACATTCAAGGCAGGAATTCAAAAGACCATTCTTCTTGGCAGTGGTTAGAAGTTGGACTTTGTTCATTTAACGAGGCACCCATTGAAGCAGAAGGACGCACGCTAAAGTTTGCTTGAAAAAACTTGGCAGTATCACTTCCGTGATGTGTGTTTGCGGACCAACCAGGCTATGGAGCAGCCGATTCCTGCTTGAATTAGGGAATGCACAAGTGGGACTCTGCTGTAAAGGGATGATAGAACTTTCAAGGAGTCTAAAACCCTTTGGACGATTATGTAAAATAGCATCGAATCTCTAGTCATGGCATGTCTTGAAGCGCAACTCAACCCATCTATTGAGGATCATGTTGAGGAGTCGCACACCAACCGTGAGGAGCAACATCGTGGTCGGTTGGTAG